CCACTATTAAAAATAAACATCAGAGCGTGATTCGATCTACTGTCTTATTTCCAGAAGTGTCAAGACATTCAGAGTGATATTTGTTTTGCAGAAACCTCAAGTTTAATCAATGCATAGATATTTTCCCACACGGTCTCCAAATTCGGCTTTCATCTTGCTCTCAAAATGTTTAAATCGCCAAAGCCTATTTTTCTTTTTTCGACGGCACCACCACCTCTGGGAAAACCTTGGAGATGACAAGAAGACACAAAAATATGTAAATACGCCCTTACTGCTACTTACTGCATGGCTTCAAGTCGGTAAATCCAAAATACGCCATGTCTTCGGCATATTACTTGCTATTATAAAAAGAATATATTGTAACATCAAGTTTTTTTTTGTTTTTGTAAATTGGTAACTATATGATATTCACTGTGCCACAAAGATATATATTCTTAAAGATTGATCCTATTTGAAACAAGCCATCAGATGCAAAGGATATTTCCGGTAGGTCTGTTTGTGTGACATAAAATGTCGTTGCATGATCCAAATATATAAATAACGAACAAAGAATCAAGATAGAAGTATATACGAGACGTTTATATAAACGATGAATACACAATGCCATTTATAAAGTGATCAAATGTAACAAATGATTTAACCCACTCAGCCACCGAGGCTTACACTGGCTGTGGAAGCCTCGGTGGCTGAGTCGGTTAAATTAGATCGCTGACCTTGTGTGCTGACGATAAGGTGCCTCGACCCGGACGGGACTCAACCCAGAAAAGTACGAGAATCTGTTCTTTACTAAGAAAGTTTAACCAAAAAATATTTGTTACGTTTATATAAAATGATCCCGCAAGCGCGTGGCGTTGAGAGGGCGCAAAGCCGTGCCGCACTGTCAAATACAGTTGATGGTCAAAGGGAGACAATCGTGTTACGATATGCCAATAACGAGGTCCCTTGCATGAGCTCCATACAGTATATATTAACGGAAACTCCCCATATCGTGTGGACTTTTCCGAGTTCTATGGGGGGGCACATGCGCAGAGCACACAGATTATTTTGGACCAGTTTACCTGCCCTAAAGCGCTTGCGCACCTCGCCGTACGACAAGCCGTCAAAACAGGGTACCAATCTAAGATTACTTTCTTAACATATTTACTTCCCTTCGAGAAAGTAAACGCAATGTCTGAACTTTGCATGTAGACCCAGAAGGGCGCTTGTACAATGGATGTAGCGCCATTCAAAATTACCAAGTAAACTGGTTCCACTGTTCGCAAGTTTAAGACAGAAGCACTAATTACCAAGCTGAATTACTTCCCTTTGACCACAATTAACCAAGCTCCTTCCCAGCGCGTGACACCTTCGTTTCACTCTCGGTAACATCGCTGCCACCAGTGTGGGCGCGGCCATTACAAGAATCTTGAAATTTGCCCTCTAACCCCAAATGTAGTAACGTTTATACTTTTGTTTATGTCTTTGGGAATGCCATCATATTTCAATTTGAAAAGGTTCACGACTGACCATGTTTTCCAGATGAATTTACTTTGTTGTTTAAATAATCAGATTGGTTCGAGATTGCAGACTAACGGAAAACCAACCAACTTCTCCCTTACATTCTTACTATATCAATAACACGATAGTTTTAATGAAACAGAAATTCAAATTAACAAACGAAGAAAGTAATTTAGCAGCTATAAGTGTATTCGGCGTCACGACAGTCGTCACTTGTTTGTAAACAAAACGGTCATTCGGTTGCGAGTTCAACTCCAAGCATGGTTTAGCCACCTATTCACAGTGGGGAGTTTTGGCTGGTGGCAACGATAGTATAGAGAGCTCCGGGAACGTACTATCGCTGTGAGGAGCTTGACAATTAACCTCGTGGAAAACAATCTGTTGAATTGTCTCCCTTTGACCATGACAAACTTTGCAAGGTTGGGTCAGGTCCATCCGGTTCTTTTTTGCCCGAGACTGCATATCAGACGATGCATATTTGTTTTCAAATTAAAATGACTTTATAACTGATTCGAACCGGTGTTTTATATTTTATGACTTGAAATAGGTCAAGGACAAAAATGTTTTCTCTACTTACAATATGACTTTACGGCGATGTTGTTGTTTTTTTTATCTATATGTGCTTTCTCTTAGATCCTTCCACAATGTGTTTTTATGTCGTTTTTCGGGTTCAGCTTGCTCTCAATTATCGACCGGACATTTTGCACTGCACAGGTTCTACAAGACTGTGACTGACCAATCAGACAGCTAGATTTAATGATGAGTAATGAAATTGCTGTTTCTATAGTTACCACAAACAGGCCAGTCACCCAGCTCCCATCCAAGGGGACCGCCTCCGTGGTTTACTGGTAGTCTGCCCGGAGAGCGAAGGTTGGGGGTTCGATCCCCGGCCGCGTCGTACCACAAGACGTTAAAAGATCATACTTGTTGTTACCCTGGCTGACGCCGCAATAAGGCGCTAAAACAAAGACTGGTCGTCTCGGAGTATACTGTGTCTGAGTGGGTATTCATGTTAAACTGCAGTATGGTACCCGGACAAACAGCCACACGCAGGGCGCGCGTACGTGTATGCACGTCGCCATATAAGTGCAATAATCTTGAAAGACACGTTAACCCTCATTTCTCCTCATCACTACATCCCTCTTACTGGTCCTGTTGAATTTAGCATCAGTGGGCAAGCCTTGTCAGCATGAGCACCAGAAAGGCAAGTAAGGCTAAAAGAGTTATTTCCCTTCTTAACATGGTAAATTATCTCGTTCCAACACAAATAGAATCATGAATGGTTTCCTTTCTTGTTTACGTACGTAAAAACAGTAACTACACGTGTCTAAAGTTAAATAGAAATAACTTTATAATGCATCTATCAATACATATCCTTGAACACATCTCGACTTTAAATCACCTCTGTTGGCGGAATTTAAGGGTGAGTCGTGACGATCAAAATTTAGACGTGTGCCTGTTTGTAGGGAGCATGTTGCTCACAAAAGTGTTTTTTTTTAAATGTGAACAGCATACAATGATTGTTTAGCTTATGATTAAACGTAATTAACGCTTGGCAATGCCAAGACATGCTGAAAATCAACGTCTTCACGCCGTGAGAATGCTGCAAACAGGAATGGATCAAAACGAAGTTGCTGGACATTTTAATGTTCACCCAAACACAGTACAATCTTTTGGGGGACGTTCATCTACACTCATGACTCACGGACCGGTCGTCCATGTGCGCTGTCACGTCAAGACAACCGCATTTGGTTGATGCATCTACGGAATCGATACCGAATGCCAAATTACAGTTCCAATAATTCCTGGGCTGAAACCAATTAGTGGCAGAACCGTATGCAACCGATAGAAGGAGCACAACATCTAGCCCCGACGTCCTGCGATACGTCAAATTGTGCTGCCACGTCACCGTCAAGAAAGCCTAGCTTAGTGTAGACAGCATCTGAGCCTAAGACGAATAGACGGACATATTACACTGTTCACAGATGAGTCCAGGTTTCATCATTGTTAATGGCAAATTGAATGGCGTACGCTACAGGGACGAAACTTCACGTTGCAGCAGAAACATGTCTGTCCACATGTTGCAAGCGTTGTTACACGACTTTTTTGAGGCAGCATAACATGGCTGTACTGCCATGGCCTGTTGTTTCTACAGACTTCTCTCCAATAGAGCATGTCTAGGATGAGACAGCGCGACGCCCACAACAGGACCAGAACCAGCCGGTTACGCTAGCTCAGGACGACCAATCTTCGGTTGACATTTGAAACATCCACAGTCATCCAATCATCATGGGACTTCAATGCGCCGTTGCTTGCATGTATCGACGCAAATAGTGGTCACACCCGATATATTGACATTGTTAATTGAGAACATCACCCCTCTTTCAGGGCGTGTCGTTTTGTCTTGTTACCAGGTATGGGTTTTGTCAATGAAATTGTTATGATAAAATATTCTTGAGACGAATTACCACTTTTTCCCCCGTTAAATTATTCCACTTCTGTCAGTGCAGGGCCATTGGTGTGCCAATGCCATTTGATATTGATCCAGTGACTCGTGTTTACGTTCAACTACTTCCATTTAGTCGGTTGAATAGGTCTTTAGCAACCGATGCTTGCCATGAAAGGCGACGGTGCTTGTCGTGAGGCGACTAACTGGATGGGGTGGTCAGGCTCGCTGACTTGGTTTGATGCATGGCATCATATCCTAATTGCGTAGATCGATGCTCACGATGTCAGTATCACTGGATTGTTTGGACCAGACTCGATTATTTACAAATCGCCGTCACATAGCTGGAATATTGCCGAGTGCGGCGTTAAACAAAAAGAGTGCTCTGAGAGCACAACATCCCCCGCATGAATTTTTTTAAAGAGTTTATATTTTCTTTGTATTTTAGGAAATAACAGTAGATGGCAGCATTTGAAATAAATTGTGCAGAACATTTTGTTGGGAGTAATCCAGTCTGAATGGTAATGCCATAAGGATGTAGCTCACCCACAAAAGCCTTAAACAAGGAAACTAACTATAGTTATAGTTAGATATTGTGATATTCTCTGGAAACTGGAGTAGATTTCATGAAGCTCCGTAAAACAGGGGCAGTAACTCTGTCAAAATAAGTCGAAATGAAACGGGACTGCGATATGCGTATCATCAACATGTCGACATCTTGTGAGTAGAGTGTCAGGGATATTCTCTAAAAACTGGAGGAGTTGATTTCACAAGCTTAGTACCCTCTGTGGGACGGAGAGACGGACGGACAGACAGACTGCGCAACGACATAACCCCCCTTCGGCCATTCTGGCCCGGCTGGGGATAAAAAACCCAAGAAGTCGGCATCACTCGTGATATTGGTGTACCCCAATGCTGCAAATGTATTGCAACTAAAACCGTCCAATGTTGGATGCAAGCTATGAAGTGAAGTGTTTCTGGTGGCTTCTTGTGCCCATAAACATATGGAACTGTAGGTCCTGACTTACATTTGCTTGCAACAAAAACATACATCTAATCAATTTTACATAGTATTTTTATTTCCAAAGAACTGATTGGTCAACGTCATGTTCCTGTCTTGGCATGCATGTTCCATCTGATTTTAAAGATTCATCGCAAAGTTTGTGTCCCTAACTACTATTTTACCAACATCTGTAGAAAAAATGGCTGCTTTGTGTGTTACCATGCTCCTGGGAGCTATCTTAATAAGCCAATTATAAATTATCACACAAACCTCTTTTCATACAACTTGAAAGCTATACATCCCACTTAAACAAAACTGATAAATGTGATTTTTAAATGAGTGCCACCTTTCACAAGATACTTAAGAAAAAGAACATCAACCAGGGATGGACATAAACACTACTCCGTAAGTCAAATACCAGTGAAAAACCAGTAGTTTTCTACCAAAGTCTAGCCATATTACATAAACTAATAGTCCAAAATGGGCTGTGGACAAGTTGGATTTGACAGTGTACATGAAGTAGGCAACAAATAATTGTAATGCACTTCCATTGATGGCACAAATGTAAGCAGGGAGAACGTTTACCACACTGGTGAATCACAAACGCAGGTATTATGGTAACAAAGTAGGGCCTGGTTCCACACAGCAATCTTTGTGCTAAGGTGATTGCAACTCCTATACCTTTACATGGCTTTGTAGCACTAAGACCATTTTGTTGAACAGAGCCTGCAGATCATATCAGAACAAATGTGGGTGTCAAACATGATCAGATGGTCCTCGTATTACCAGCACATCCACTCTGTACTGTGAACTGCAGCAACCCTATTCTGTTGCCAGTCTATGACAACTTGAATAAACCATCATATTATCCTAGTTTTAATGACAAAAGACAATCTTTTTTTCAAATTTTTTTTATTTCCCCTTCATATTTTACAGGTCATTTACTTCTTGGCCTTAGTATCTTTGCTGGTAGTTTCGCTTTTGCTTTCACTCCTGCTCTTTGAGTTGGAGGATCTCCTCCTCTTGCGCTCCTTGGCTTCCTTCATTCTCTGGGCCAAGAGTTTAGCATACTCTGCAGCATCCTCACGTTTCTTAGCATTCCTCCTCTTCTTGAGTGCCATGCGATGTCTCTTGTGCTGCAGCACCAGTGGGGTGACCAACCGCTGGATCTTAGGAGCCTTTGTCTTGGCCTTCTTGCCTGGAAACAGTTAAAAGTTCAAGGTAATGAGCTAAATGCTCTTCAAATACTGAAACAAATAATTTATACTATGGACCAGTGGGCCATTGTATATTTTTCCCAGAAAGTCTGAAGATGATTTTTACAAGTTTCTAATGAAATTACACAAATTCTGAAAATGATCACACACCTTTACAAAATTAGCACAAAGTATATATGCATATAAAATATGCTTAGGTCTCATAAAATACCGGGTAGTCAGTGGATGGTATTTAATTCCCTATAGTGCAATGCCCTTGTCAGACATATTACAGAGGCCTGTAGATATACACAACTAACCACTGGTTTGAGTGTAAGCAGAGACATATGTACAGGATACGACCTACTGTAACATATTTAGCACCCTAACACTTCACCATTATGGGTGGGTGAGGTGAAATGGGGTTTAACACTGCGTACAAAATTCTTCCACTTATATAGCAACTCACATGCACGGGTGTCTGCTTGTGCTAGTCCTGTTGATGCCAGTTTTATAGTGATAGCCCACTGAGATACGATGCCACAGTTTAACATGAATACCCCACTCAGACACAGGATACTCACTCCGAACCAACCAGTCCTTTTTGCCCCTTAATGCTGAGCACCAGGCAGGGTAAAAACAAGTTCCATCTTGTAAAGGCTTGGTATGATATGGCTAGGGGATCGAACCCAAGACCTTCTGCTATATCCACTAGATCACAGGGGATGTCTTACCATTTTTTAATCATAAAGGGGCGGTATTTGGGATGCCATTAAGACTCCCATGATGCAGTTGTTTGAATATTTTAATGTTATTGCATGGACTACACCTACAAGGGTAGATAGACTTCTCAGTTGCACACCAATCTAATAGCTTTCAAACACATTGTTTACCAATAATGGTCGTGACAAATGACCTACCAAATGAATATATCGGTAATGAAACAAGGACAAGGGAGAGAACCAACCTTCCTTCTCAGGCAGAGGTCTGCGGATGACATATTGTCTCACATCATCTTCCTTGGACAGGTTGAACAGCTTCCTGATCTTGCTGGCTCTCTTGGGTCCAAGACGACGGGGGATGGTCTTGTCAGTAAGGCCAGGGATATCTTTTTCACCTGTGCACAGAAAATGAATGCCCTTACATATATACCTTGAATTCTTAACCAATTGCAAACACTAAATGATGGCGCATGTTCACAAATGTTGGCTGCACTGGTGTCAGTATCTTTATTGTCAGCAAGATGTGACTACTTAATGGTCAAATGATCCCTAACATGTGATATTTACCAATATTTTAGAAGTAGGGATGGTGGAGCTACTAATTTAATGAACAGCAGAACCTGGTTCTTAAACCATTTCTCATTTTGCCCAGAATTAACTTGATATATATATACAATTTTAAAAGGTTATTCGTACCCTTCTTGATGATAATCATGGAGAGTACAGAGAGTTGTCCATCAACAATGCATCCACGGACAGACTTCCTCTTGCGCTCGCCAGACCTCCTGGGTCGGAAGCAAGAGTGGCCCTTGGATAGGAGCAATCGCACACGGCCATTTGTCAAGACACCCTGTTTCATAGGGAAGCCCTGCTTGTCATTGCCGCCGGTGATGCGAAGGAGATATCCCTGGAACAAACATGTCAGTAAGATGTATCCTTCCAAATCCTCCAGTTGTTAATTAACATAACATAGTATATTCCATTGCTTTGGTGGGAACCTATCAGAGCTCCAGATAACTTATGGAGCAATTGAGTTTTTACTCAAGGGTTTTGATTTTAATTGGGTTTTTACATTTTTCATTGGGTAACTAATAATTTTTCACTCAATTAATCACTCTTTTGGGTTTTTCCCCAAATTAGTAAACATTTTAAGATTTAAAAAAATGAAATAATGTTTTAGATGTATATAACTGTTCTAAATACATAGGCTTGACTCGGAAAGTAAATTAGCTTGTAATTGTGTTTCGGAAATTAGCTCCTTTGAGAAAGCTGCACTGGGTTTTACGCGTGCTGTTTTTATACATTTGAGTTTTGCATTAAATGCATGCATTTCTGTAAGTTAACTCTTTCAACACCAGTCAACCAGTAGTGTTTACTGCTGGGACACCGAGTTCCAAGAGACTTGTGTGCGATAGATGAAGCCAACATTTATCAAAGAAAATATCTGCTTGTAAAATATCTTTGCTACTACATGTTATACACCATTTGACCATGTTGAAAGGTCTGATCCTATGGTTTATAAATATGAAAGTTATGTTTATCACATTATTTAAATAATGCATTTACAACTTAATTAAGTTTGTTGTAAATAAAGAATATAAGCTAACACGTTGATAACATCCAGATTAAGGACAAAGGAAGCGAAAAATTGACGATTTTCGGCAAATATAAGATTTAATAAAATCAACTTCCCTATTTCTGTTTTATTTTCATTGTTTACGTAATTGGAAAATCATTTTAGAAAGAATTATAAATAGTATCTGTCATCACCAATTTCCCGATGACAGCGGGAGGTTTGCTAAGTAACATGAAGAAATACCCCAGTTTTCGAGGCTTCGTATGAATAACACGTTCGAAGACTTGCATAAGACACATCGCTAGAAAGCTTATTTCATCAACACGCTCGTAACATCACCTGGAGTTTTTTCGTAGTTATTACATGCAATTTCATTGGATAACAATTGGTTTCTAATGACGCTTTCTTGTCGAAATCTGCTACAAGGTTTCTTGATTGGTCAGATTTGAGCATGTGACCTAAGGCAGCCAATCAAATTACATCTATGGTACTGCTTCGTGTATATTAGAAATTTCAGAAGTTGACGAAAGATTTTCGTTAAATCGTGTTATTCTAAACGTTGTAAGCAGGAAATCACGATACATATTAAAAATAAGGAACTTTGTGAATGTATCGTGCTAGGTTACGAGATGACAGATTTTTCATGCATATATTTTTGCATTAAACATCGTGGCCGGGCCGAGAATTCAAGGTGACAAAAGCCGAGATGTCATCTGACTAACATTACATGCGATCGCGAGAAAAGATGGAAATAATAACTTAGCTGTAAGTTTGACAACTTTTAGATATATTTTTGTTGGTTTAATATAGTACTTTGTATAATATATGTTAAGATTTGCTTGAAACGCAAATACGCTGCTTATCTGTAGCTCTGGATATTGATCATAAATGTTTCTCAAACAATAAAGAAAGAGTAGTTTGTACACATACAAACAAGATTTCAAATAAAAAATGTTCTGAAGATTAATATCAACATTCCAACAGCAGCATTTTATAAAAACTACAACTGTTACCTTCCACTCATCTCCTAGGTTTTCAGCCGTCACTTCAGCTGACATACGCTTGTCATAGAAGGGCCGAAGTTTCTTTTCATCATCAACTTCGATCAGTTTTTGACAGCCAGTGGCTGGATAAGCTATGTTCAGCTGAAAAGATGAAATTTGAAGCAAGTTAGAAATGACAAAATATATGCGATTTTTGTTCATCTGAGTTGACGAACAGGTTGTAGCTAACCACAAATCAGTATACAATATCTTGTATTGCAGATACCCCTGATAAATATATAACATCAAAATTTGGATATTTTCAGTGGTGCTCGTTTTTGAGGCACAGATATTGTCTCAATAATATAAAGATGTTTTCCAACCAAAATATCACAAATTAGTTCGTATATGTTCATTGGGGTACAAGAACTAGACCCATGAAGATACGGAGTAGAATATGTCTTCAGCAACCCATGCTTGCTGTAAAAGGTGACTGTGCTTGTCGTAAGTGGCGACTAACGGGATTGGGTGGTCAGGCTCGCTGACTTAGTTGATACATGTCATCGATCCCAATTGAGTGGATCGATGCTCATGAAATTCATCACTGGATTGTCTGGTCATGACTCGATTATTAACAGACCGCCATTATATACCTGGAATATTGCTGAATGCGGCGTTAACCAAACAAACCAACCAACAAGAAGTAATCCAGGGTTAGAAATTGGCACTAGTCCTATAGTTCTTGCCAATCTGCCCAATACTTAAGGTATCATAAGGACAAGGAGATATTTGCCAAATTTAGGGGTTTGCTATATATTATCATTTTAACGACTAGTGGACCAAAAATGTTAGTTTCTACCGCTGTAATATGAGGCATAATACTTTGAATGGTGTACACAATGGTACATATGTAACATACCCTGACCTGTGCTTATTCACAATTTGTAAAATTGTGCTGAACTGGTAGTTTGTTTATTTGTTGCTTAACACCGCACTCAGCAATATTCCAGGTATATGACGGTGATCTGTAAATAATTGAGTCTGAACCAGACAATCCAGTGATTGACATCATGAACATCGATCCACACAATTGAGATACGATGACACGCATAGAGTCGGCGAGTCTGACCACCCGATCCTGTGAGTTGCCTCTTACGACAAGCATGAAGACCTATTCTAACCTGGATCTTCACGGGTCCTGGTCCAGTTTAACTACAGGTCCGGGAAAATAATGCCAATCAAAAGTGTTAAACCTCAAACTTCAAACCGCAACTACGAGTATATCTCATACCACACTCAGTGCATAATCAAAACAAACACCTCAGTTAAAAATTATGCAGGTCCTGAGACCTGACATTTCCACAAAGGTTTGAAGGACCAGCACATTTCAAAACAATAATTAAAGTTTTATTGACAAGCAGCTGTTTTATGATCTTATTACCATGTCCTTCATAGACTAAATTTTCACTCACGAATGGTTGTGCAGTTGACCAATTTTAGGGACAAGTTCAGCATCCCATTTTAAAGAAGATTCTGAATGGTTATCAAGGGGTGTCCTTAGACAAGTGAATAGCAGAAAACATCAAGGGGCCACCATAATTTCTAACTCAGCGCCAAATGACATCCACACCTGTTTTGGTAACGCAGTTCGGACAGCACTTATTTTATTAATACAACATCAAAATCTACTTATTTTTTACAGCAATCCGCCAGTTATAATTTTACAATATATTCACTTTGATCCTGACACTGTTCTGAAATTTTGCAAAGAGACCAAATATTCACCAACACTTAAAATATCCATTGTCATGACAAATATATATCAAATATTTTGAATGCGATGACAGACCATAAACAATGTAATTTTAATAATTAAAGGTGTGCATAATCACATGCCATTTACATGATGGCAGTAACTGGCAATTTCCAGAGTTTTGAAAGCCTCTCATCACTGAAAGACAAATTCACGTCCACAATTGAACTTTTCCATACCAAAAATTGTATTGAATACATTTACTGACAAGTTTCACAAACCCAATAATATAACTTTGATTTTCACATATTTCAGAAACCCATACATGGTGTTAATTGGTCAGTGGCCCTTACACTCTGTACTGTACCATTTACCACCTTCTCAATCATCACAATACAAACATATAGGCCAATATTGGGAAAGCAACATGGACTCAGTAAAACTGGACTGCCCAACCTGGCCCCCCCTTCCATAGGCAATTATTTAAGTAGTTGTTAACGAAGGCAACCTTAACCTTCATCTCCCAATATTGTTGCGTACAACATATCACATTATGGTGAAGGAAGATAGGTAGGGTTCAGGAGAACGTGCATTCAGAATATTGGTGTCTATCTCTACACAAATGTGTATAACAAGTACGTATTACTGCTCTGCGTGCATCGTTCTCGTGACATGTCATCGTTTCCATAAACTTAAGAATTTTTCAGGATAAAATATATGTCGATGTAAATAAGGACCCATGCATGTGTCATCACAGGAGCTATTTACAATCTAAAACATCTAGCACATAATTCAAACACACTTGGGATATTTTGAATTATATCGCATAACACAATGCCTTGTCGTTCGATTGTGATCTTTATTTTAATCGTATTGATGTAATAAACACCACGTTTTGTTGGTATATATGTACCTTCATCCTTAGATGTAACGACCAATCTCGATGGCCGACCGGAAAAAGAAAGTTGCACCGGAAGGGTAAATGTAATCTCGACTCATATTTTCGGCGTATTGTACAGTTCCATTTCTGTTCAATCGCTTTAATTCTTAATGTGGATTAAATTCAATCAGAATACCTCAATACTTGATTGCGAATAAAACAGTTGGAAACAATCGGAATTTGTACTATATGTGACCGAATCAAACATCAAGCATTGTGACTTCGAGACTATTCATGATGGTGGCGGGAAGTTTGGGGAGGATTCAGTGACATTGTTTTGTCAGCGAAATATGTTTCGCAACATGATAGTTGGTCATGTCACAACATGAAACCATCACTAAAAATACAATTCGACTATTTTGTCAAAATGCAAAGGTGAACTATGTGGATTTATTAACCCACATTGCTTTCCTTGCTCATGAATTTGGGGTTATCATTAACAACGCTCGGTACAGAACATGCAGAAGGTAAACATTACCTTGATTGTTTGATTACAGCCGAATTTAAGTCTGACAATCCCTGGTTCTTATGCTGTGTGATGGTTATCAGCTTGTTATGGCCTTGCAGTTACATTTGTTTAGCTATTTATCTGTGTACCTTGTAACAGAACAACGAAACTGGGACCCACGAAAACTGAGTGTTGTGCCGCACATTTCTCTCTACAGATGTATAACTTAAAATATACACAAATTGACATTAGTCACTTGATAGTGAATGTTTTTACGAAAATTATCCTAGATGTGAGTAACAATCACATATTTTTTAGTTTCTTAACGTTAAACATCTACATATGAATGTGAAAGGGGGTCTTTTGCAGGTGGGTTGCAGTAATTTCGTTATGCAAACAAGTTCGTAACCTTCAAAATGAGAAATTTCGTAGACCAATCCCTGCATAATAAATTACGTTATGAATAAAATATTGAGTGAGAGCAGTATAGCATTCAAAGCACCTGATAGAACTGCACCAAAATCCTGCCCAAAAGGGAAGCGTCCGTCAATCTAAATGCATAGGGGTGATATAATACTTGAACCTATAACAACAATAACATTAGTAAAGTAAGACGAGTTCTATGGATGAACAACTTCTTTATTACAATTGGTGCGACGTTTTGGTGTAGATCCTAACACCTTTATCAAGCAAGTGATGGATAGGGCTTACTTACTTACTTACTTACTTTGGAGATTTAACGTGCGCTTTCCGACTGATGCGTATTTCGCACACGGGCCCGGCCAGGCCATTTAATGTGTTTCCGAAAGGGGCGAAGGTGGTCTGTGCAACCCAAGAGGGGGGTTTTAGGGGTTGCTTATATAGAATTTTGGAATTTTGAGATTTGGAATAGATGCCGATGGGATTGGGGAGGAGAACTAAGGGAGCTGGGTATGGTGGATGTTTGTTTGTTTATGTGATTTTGATTTGGTGAGTTATTGTGTTTTTAGATGCGTTTTATTAGTTCCGTTTTGATTAAGAATACGCCTAAGGCCTTGAAGTTTTCTAGTTTATTTTGTGGGTTTAGTATTGCTTCTAGAGTTAGAGCCTTGTTTGGATTGAGGGTGGTTTGTAATGCGGTTCGATGTGTTAGGTAGTGTGTGCAGTGGATGAGTGCGTGTTCTGGGGTTTCTGGTTGTTTGCAGTGCGGGCAGTTACCTGTAGTGTGTTTTTTAAATTTTTTTAGGTGGTTATTTAGGTTGGTGTGTCCTGTTTGGAGTTTAGTGATTACTCTGTCGATTTTTTTGGATGGATGGAGAATTTTTGGTTTGGTTAGTGGTTTGCTGAGCACTTTTTTGATTTGGCTATTTGAGTTTAGATATAGGTTATGCCATTTTTTGGTGATTTTTTGCTTGTTTACACTTTTAATTTCTGATTTTGAGATGGGTAAGTTTAAGCTTATTTCTGGGATTTTGAGGGATAGTTTAGCTGCTTTATCTGCGTTTTCATTACCGTATATTCCTACGTGGGCGGGTATCCACAAGAAGGTTATTTGTTTGCCTGCCTTAGTTAGGTCGTTGGAGCTTTTAAGTATTTGATTTATTAATTTAGGTCGGTTTTTGGTATTTTTGTTTTGGAGGGCTTGCAGTCCACTTAGGGAGTCGGTAAGTATTAGGATTTTTTTGTGGTTTTTGGATTCTTGATTATGGAGGGCTGAGGCCATGCCCATTAGTTCTGCCGTGAATATTGATTGGTTGTTTGGGAGTCGGAAGGATTGTGTGGTTTTAGTTGGTTGTGTGGTATGGACTCCGAAACCTGTGTGTTTGGAGGTCGGATCTGAGGATCCGTCCGTGTAAAATGTGACACCAATTTGGCCAATTTTCGTGTATGTATGCTAGTGTGGTAGTTTTAGCTATGTTTGGGTCGGTTTGTTTATTTATTTGGCTAGCTAGTGTTGTGTCTATTTTGGGTATTTTAAGTTTAGGGGTGAAGATATTTGATTGTTTGCAGTTTTGTTTAAGATTTTTAATTTGGTGTTCATTTAGGTAGTTTGTTATTCTTTGGGATATTGGGGTAAGTAAGGGGTGTTTACGAGCTAGAGCTTGGTTTTTGGGGCTGATGTTTTGGTTTATTAAGTTTTGGATGAGAGGGTTTGATTGGGACGCGGCCCAGAAATTTAAGCTTAGCTGTTCCCTGCGTAGACTTAGTGGCATTTCTCCTGTTAAGGCCTGAAGTGAGGTGTAGGAGGTGCCATGTTGGGTGCGTGTAATTAGTTTGAGAGCCTGATATTGTATTGAGTCAAGTTTTTTAGATAGAGAGTTGTTTAGGGTGTTGTATATGGCGCAGCCGTAGTCTAGTTTTGATCTAATTAGTGATATGTAGAGAGAGAGGAGGGTATCTTTGGATGCTCCCCAGTTAGAACCAGTTAGGCATCTTAGGGTGTTTAGGTCTTTACTGCATTTAGTTGTTAGGTTTTGGATGTGAGCATCCCAGGATAGGGCTAAACAACATAGGTATATATACACTTATTGACATCTAGGTTGTTACAGTGACTAGTTGATGGGCACAGAGAGGTGATTAAGCTAATTGGAAGCCAGTGGATGACTGATGAACACAGAGTATACTAGCAGAGTAAACAAACTAACTGATGGAGATGATGGAAGCCACTGTATTAATTGGATGGACAAAGGGATTGAGCAATTAGGTGATGGTAAGCAGGCAGGATGTAATAGCCTTGGTCTCTGTTCATTGCTGGCTGGATCCTTTTGATGTGGATGGCTTCTAGGAGTTTCCTGATTTTGTAGTCTGATTGGTTGTTGGCCAGGATCTTGATGTTGTTCCACTGGATGTTGTGATCGGGGTGGGTTTGGGTGTGGTCGGAGATGGCTGATTTTGAGTCATTTTTTTGTACTGAGGTCTTGTGTTCTTTTATTCTAATGGGTAGGGGCCTGGATGTTTCTCCTACATAGGAGTCGCCACAGTCACATTGTATGTGATATACGGCTCCAGCTGGGTCTTCTTTCTTAGATGTAGGGGGCTTGCCATTGGCGCTGAGGATGTTCTGGATTGTCCTGCCTCTCTGGAATACTGAATCAATGTTGGCGTGGTGTTTGAGCAGTCTGCGGATCTGGTGGCTGGCTGTTCCTATGTAGGGAAGACTGATGACGAACGGGGCTGTCTGTTGTCGTGGAGGCCGCTCTCTAGGGCTGAGGATGCTGTTGATTGTTTGTTCAACTAGGCTGGTAGGGTAATTGTTGAAGTTGGTGAATACATGGCGGAGGTGGTTGAGTTCAGTTTTTAGCTGTTGTGGCGTGGAACAGATGTTGACAGCACGTCGGGCTAAGGTGGCGATGATTCCTCTCTTGATTTGTGGTGGGTGGTTAGAGGAATTGTGCAGATACTGGTCCGTGTGGGTGGGTTTACAGTAGACACTGGTGTGTAGTTTGTTATCGGGATCTTTCTGTACTCTTACATCTAGGAATGGTAGTTGTCTCTCAGCTTCTTCTTCCATAGTGAACTGCATCCTGGGGTGTTGGGCATTCATAGAACTCGTCTTACTTTATCACTCCAACTTCTAAATGCCACTCAAAGAAGTAATAACATTAGTAGTTTGTTTACCTGTTGACCGATATACTGGTTCGAAGAACTGGCAGAGAAGTTGCTTGCTTTGGGTCTATAATTTCACACATTTTACATGCAAAAATACAAATGTTTAATGTTTGATTGTGTGATGATGATAATTTGTATGGTAATGTTATGTGGATGCAATGATTGCGTGGGGAAAAAAAATAAGATACACAAATTGTTAGAAATATGAAATAGGGTTATGAAGTTTCTTACAAAATTACTATAGTTACAAAATTTCTAGAGGTACAAACCTGTTTGGGTTTCAAAATTACATACACCTATTCCAGCCTAGGTATAGCCATTGTAACAAACTGAGACAGTGTCTGTATAATTATGGTAATAATCAACTGCAAAATTGATTTGTAGTTGCAAACAATAAACTGGAGTGACTTGAACCAAAACTTGTTTGGACTGCCTTAGCTCAGTTCCCAATTAAGCTGATGTGTCATGACATGAGTACCAGACTGATTGTGGATGCTAGTGTTGCTTGATATCTCAACTCATCAACCTGTGACATAAACACTAAAACAGACTAAAGGATACATAAACACTAAAACAGGCTAAAGGATACATATACACTAAAACAGGCTAAAGGATACATATACACTAAAACAGACTAAAGGATACATAAACACTAAAACAGACTAAAGGATACATATACACTAAAACAGACTAAAGGATACATATACACTAAAACAGGCTAAAGGATACATATACACTAAAACAGACTAAAGGATACATAAACACTAAAACAGACTAAAGGATACATATACACTAAAACAGACTAAAGGATACATAAACACTAAAACAGACTAAAGGATACATAAACACTAAAACAGGCTAAAGGATACATATACACTAAAACAGGCTAAAGGATACATATACACTAAAACAGACTAAAGGATACATAAACACTAAAACAGACTAAATGCTAAAGGATATATATATATATACACTAAAACAGACTAAATGCTAAAGGATATATATATATATATATATACACTAAAAAATACTAAATGGTAAAGGATATATATATATATATATATTTATGCACTAAAACAGCTAAAGGTTGCAGCACTTGCATGTGTTTTGATACTATCACAGAGGGGAAATTGACTTGTACTATCAATGCTGGGTTATTATCAAATGAATTTGGTAGATTACTGTCAGTTTCTGCTCATTACTATCCAGATTGTAGGACACAATGACCAGCATATTAAGATGGACCATTCTTTATATGTACACTTCAAATACCCACTGCCGGTACCTCCTCTGTGGCACATTGAAGTGATGTTAGATACCCACAGATACCCGACCCTATTACCTGGGTACCCACTGTAGGTCCCAAGAGTTGGGCACAAAATGTCTGATTGGGAATTGTTCTGACAGAGTCCTGGCAAAAATGACCTGTTCATGCATACACAGATGTGACTCAAGCTTTATCTTTACTCAAACATATAAAAGTCAGAAGGAATGCATGCATAGTCAGAAAGAAATGCAAACGTTAGCAAGTGGAGTTATATTGTTATAGTCATTAAGTGATATATCGTGTGACAAGACACAAGTCTGGGTAGTCCTTTGGGTACCTGAGTCCTACTCAGGACCCACCCGACGTGAGTACCAGAGTTACCACTCCCAGCCCAAAGTGATATGTCATACAATACCTACAAGTAGAGATTGCTGCAGAGCATCAATAGCTCCCCGCAATATAATGTTATGTGCAGAGGAAGGAAGTGTAAGCTATGGGAGGAGAGAATTGGTGTACAAATTGGTTGTTATTAATTTACTTATCTTTGGAAAGCACTACAAAAGAAACAGTGTCTTTAATTGGTCAGCACAAAGAAAACTGGGCCTGTCAGGCAAAACTTGATATATACCCATTATTAGTACCAATAAAAAAAATCCTATATAGATAACACAACAAATGTAATTCTAAAGCATGCTTTTGCAGCAAATATCAATATTTCTGTTCAAAATGTTGGTTGGGTTTTAATTAACCCAACCAGCATTTTGAACAGAAATATTACTTTTAAAATAGTAAACACCAAAAAATGTAATGAATCCACTCTAAATATATTTCAGTTCAAATGTAAAAATTCACGCAATCATTAATGGATTCCCATTTATCTAGCAGCAAGTTAGGAACATACAGTTTGGTCACGTTATCTATAAATATTGAGAATTATCTTACATATTGTAAAAACAAAGGCCATAGGTCACTTTTCTCAAAACTTCTTTAAAGTAATCACAAACTAAAAATTGAAAAAAATTGTAGATATACAAAAAAACAAAAAAAACACATTTGAACAACGTCTCTGTGAAACATGTGATGTCTCAGAAGATGAACAACATTACGCACTGTCTTACATAATACAACCAAGAAGAGAATCACAAATAATCCCCAATCATGATAAAGAATTTGGTACACTCTGTTAAGTTTAATAAGTTTACCAACAGTTATCCAGAAACAACTTCCAAGATCTGTTAACTTATCAACAATTACAAACAAATTCCTTGTACATGTATGTACAACATTACCATAGTTTTGTTCAATTCTCATATTGTTTCCATATCATTATAATACACTTGTTTTAGAAATTAAATTGTTATAATGTACCTCTTTTGAATGTTGAATGTTCCTGTCGTTAATTGTGCATGTATTTTGTAGTTTGTGATTGTGTAATATTGCCACTGTTTCTTCATGGAATGTTCCGCAATACATATCTCATCTAAAACATCTTTGTTGTATAATAGTTTCTTACAGTTGTTTACGGGGCATGGTTGGCCCAGTCGCCGAAGGCGCTGCAATTCGCTATGCAGAGTTGTGTCCCTTGGGCACGCCAGAAACCTATGACAGTGTGTTTGAATCTCGGTTCGCCCCAATTCTGTTGTCAGCACAAAACCCTTGCTCGTTGGTTTCACTAAAGTGGTGGACGTCTAAGACATGCATCACTTCAGACTTTCCTCCCACATCAAGCTGACACGGAATATTATTCAAGACGGTGTAAAACCCAACTGCCTCAATCACTCTTGTGTATGGTTCCGTTTGGTTAACTGGGTTTGTGTTGTGATTGCTTCCGGCTTAGAAATTGAAATTTGTTACTATGTTCAACCCAAACATTGTGAAGTTATCATGCAACCGTATTATCTTTTTGGAAAATAATTGCAAACTACAGACCAACCTGTTGATTTCCTATGTATCCAGAAGCAAAGAACATATATACGGGTGTATAATCTCTGCTAGAAGTTAATTTTTTTTTGTCAAAGCAATAAACCATGCAGAAACGTAAACCGCCACATGAAACGATATGTACCATACATTACATACAGTGACGTATTTAAAACAATGCTGTGCTCAACTATGCACAGCAAGCGCCATACATGTGATCATGAAGACAACGAATATAAAGATTCTCATAGCAAACCCGTTGTTTTACATGTGTTGTTTATTGAACAAAGTCATACTTTATAGAAGCCTGTTATTTAATCGTGTTGAACAATATGTTGCAATAGCAATGTGAAAATTGAGTGCGCGTGACAGGCTTGGCTTAAATTCCTTCCTGGAACGTTTCTCGATGGCTGCCTGAATAACATGCGATACATTGCAAAGGTAGTGCGCAATTGAGCTGTTCGGGTAAGGGAGATAATCACTCACTCTCAGTGATACAGCTTGAATAAGGTACGTATACAGCAATGCAAGGCCAGTGCGTGAATTTATCACTTCTATACTACGCCTATAGCTAAAGGAGATAATCGCTCAATGCGCAATAATTTATTCTTAAAAAATATAGACCGGTTAACTTTAGCGAAATGGGATAATTTTTTAGCTCTTTTAAAAACAAAATGAACAAATTTCATGGGTTATCAGCATTACGAAAAGTGACTAAGTCTCAGAATAGCAAGACGATTTTGAAGTATCTCTTATTGCTGGAAAAGATAAACATCAACATTTCACGCACATTTCACATGATTTGTATGTTTCGTTCCGGTAACTGTGTGGCTTGAAATTTCAAAGAAACCAACATGTCAACTTACATGCTACAAAATTAACCTCTCCCGTATACTTCCCCGCCTTAAGGGCGGGGAAGAATAAAACTAGGTGCAAAAGGAATCATGGTAAATGTTATTGAAGAGAAGTGGCACGAAACTGAGAACATATATATAATATGTATAATCAGGGAATATGTGTAGGGAATATACATAAACCCTAATTTTTTCAGGTATTATACATATTCCCTGATTTAACATCAAGTTTTTTTTAGACATATTCCCTGAAATTTCTTTTGAGGCTCTCAAATTTGTTGTTGTTGCATTAAGTGTTTAAGAGGTCGCCTTCTGCTTAAGCAATTTCGGCTGACCTGTCCCTCTTTGGGACTCCTGTGTGTGAGTAGGGTACGCATATCTATTGTGAGTTTGGTATTCACATAATTTCTGTTTTTGAATTGATATGATTTCTATTTTCTTATATTGATATGATTTCATTTTTATCCTTGGCTGCTCTGTTTATATACGTTCGAGTAGCCGTCCATCTCTCAGACAAATGTATTTGACATGTTAACAAATACCTTTCACTTAACTTAACAATTAGTCTCGACTGTAATCAAAACATAGGATATAAATGAGATTAAAATACTGTAAATCGTGTAATTAATGCGTCTCCAAAAGAATGCGACAGCTGGCCCCTAGCCAAAAATGTGACTCAATATGAATGCGACACCCCCTCCTCTCAAGCATCAGTGGATTTATGTGTACAGAAAATACAGGAGAATCCTTAATCGCCTTAATCCAACCTTACATTAATCCAATCACACACCAAATAGCACCGCTGAGTAGAGTACTTTTGCAATACATACGCACTGGCTCATGTTGGCCTTTGACGCAGTCGCAAAGAACAAAGACATAGTCACATCTGTTGAGTAAAGTGATAGCCACCCCAGAGTCCTTTAATCTGTTGCCTTCTGACTTAGAAGAATCTGTGAACACTCCTGATTCCCTGATGTATGTTTGTTATCATGTCAAATAAATTTCTCTTCTCATAAATAATTTGTTTTGTTTTTTATCAAGTTTGACCTCAAAAGTAATTTCAGGGAATACATGTATGTCTAAAATACTTGATGTTAAATCAGGGAATATGTATAATACCTGAAAATTTTAGGGATTATGTATATTCCCTGAGTGAATCAGACATTAAATATATTCCCTGAAATTTCCTGTAACATATATCTATCGAAATGTTCAACCGCACAAGTGCACAAAACACAGATTTATGTTGATTCATTCTTTAGTAGACTGTTCTACTTGTGAGTTTTAATCAAGGATGGAAATTAGCAATATTAAGCTTTCCAAATGACTTGATGAACTAATTGCAGTGGAATGTAAGGAAATGATAGATACATTGAGAGAGCTAAAGAAATTGTTGCTGATTCCAATCTGTGAAATGCATTTATGAGTTCTGATACCACTTATCACATATCACCATTCATACTTAAGCTCAGATCAGTTACAATGATTTGAGTACTGTATTGTTTCAGATGTAAGACTTTGATGGTTGGCTGAAGATGGATCAGTACGTAGAAGACTCAGAGCACAGCAATGAGGACCAGCCATCCAATTTCCTGGTGCTAGCATCCCAGTCAGAGACCCAATACTCACAGTGGGACCAGCAGCACATGCTTCAGTCTCTCCCTGCCCTCAAGTCCTCACAGGTAACTAGGGCCATACACTGACACACAATACCACATGCTGCAGTCTCTCCCTGCCCTCAAGTCCTGGCAGGTAACTAGGGCCATACACTGACACACAATACCACATGCTGCAGTCTCTCCCTGCCCTCAAGTCCTGGCAGGTAACTAGGGCCATACACTGACACACAATACCACATGCTGCAGTCTCTCCCTGCCCTCAAGTCCTGGCAGGTAACTAGGGTCATACACTGACACACAATACCACATGCTGCAGTCTCTTCCTGCCCTCAAGTCCTCACAGGTAACTAGGATCATACACTGACACACAATACCACATGCTGCAGTCTCTCCCTGCCCTCAAGTCCTGGCAGGTAACTAGGGCCATACACTGACACACAATACCACATGCTGCAGTCTCTCCCTGCCCTCAAGTCCTGGCAGGTAACTAGGGTCATACACTGACACACAATACCACATGCTGCAGTCTCTTCCTGCCCTCAAGTCCTGGCAGGTAACTAGGGCCATACACTGACACACAATACCACATGCTGCAGTCTCTCCCTGCCCTCAAGTCCTGGCAGGTAACTAGGGCCATACACTGACACACAATACCACATGCTGCAGTCTCTCCCTGCCCTCAAGTCCTGGCAGGTAACTAGGGCCATACACTGACACACAATACCACATGCTGCAGTCTCCCCCTGCCCTCAAGTCCTGGCAGGTAACTAGGGCCATACACTGACACACAATACCACATGCTGCAGTCTCTCCCTGCCCTCAAGTCCTGGCAGGTAACTAGGGTCATACACTGACACACAATACCACATGCTGCAGTCTCTCCCAACCCTCAAGTCCTCACAGGTAACTAGGATCATACACTGACACACAATACCACATGCTGCAGTCATTCCCTGCCCTCAAGTCCTGGCAGGTAACTAGGGCCATACACTGACACACAATACCACATGCTGCAGTCTCTCCCTGCCCTCAAGTCCTGGCAGGTATCTAGGATCATACACTGACACACAATACCACATGCTGCAGTCTCTTCCTGCCCTCAAGTCCTGGCAGGTATCTAGGATCATACACTGACACACAATACCACATGCTGCAGTCTCTCCCTGCCCTCAAGTCCTGGCAGGTATCTAGGATCATACACTGACACACAATACCACATGCTGCAGTCTCTCCCTGCCCTCAAGTCCTGGCAGGTAACTAGGGTCATACACTGACACACAATACCACATGCTGCAGTCTCTCCCTGCCCTCAAGTCCTGGCAGGTAACTAGGGTCATACACTGACACACAATACCACATGCTGCAGTCTCTCCCTGCCCTCAAGTCCTGGCAGGTAACTAGGATCATACACTGACACACAATACCACATGCTGCAGTCTCTCCCTGCCCTCAAGTCCTGGCAGGTAACTAGGGTCATACACTGACACACAATACCACATGCTGCAGTCTCTCCCCACCCTCAAGTCCTCACAGGTAACTAGGATCATACACTGACACACAATACCACATGCTGCAGTCTCTCCCTGCCCTCAAGTCCTGGCAGGTAACTGGGGTCATACCAGGGGTCCGGAAAATTTAAAATCCCAATCAGACAATTGCATTTAGGCCACGCCCCCTTCAAATAGTGTTTTTTTTGTACGACTTTTCACACACTGTTACGTACAGTGTTCCCTCGTTATTGAGCGCTTCGGTTATAGCACGGTAAAGCATGGCTCCCAAAATTTACTATCATTTTTTAGTAAACTCAAGTTTTCAAAATGACACGATGTTTTCCCCCATCTCAGAAAACATTATCAGCTGATCACCGCTATCACGTAACACCGGAAATACAAGTCAACAAATCCGAACTGAAGAACGCAATTTAATCCTATAATTATAATATCTGGTTATAAAAAAAATTTGTTCACTGTTTATCTGGACTAGAGTTTGCAATATATTTGATTAATATTATTCAATATTTCATTCAATAATTATAATAATGTTTACAATAATTTCGTCGAAATCGTTTGCGAAGTGATCGGTAGATCGCACAACTCACCGTTATTTACAGCAACCACGGTCAGATTACCACTATTGATGCCTTGAAACAAACTTTAGGTGCAAGAGAATGGATACACATATCATAAATGCAGTACCATGACTCGCTAAAAGTCATATTTGAGGCAGTTTGACTATTAAATGTCAACATAACGTTTTCGCAATCGAAATACATGTAGCGCGAGAAGTCCCTACGGTGACTGGTCAAAATTGTTCCATACGTCAAAAAATATCCTGCATACCATCTGTACCAAAGTGCTACGCTTATGGTTCTTATAATTTTAGTATATATGGTGGAAGCTGCAACTAAAATAACACGATATTGGAATATATTCTTCCTGATAAAATAATAATTTCAGATACAATTTCTTCCCACCACTGCATCAAAATTCTTTAAAGTGGTATCACTGGGTATGTTTTAACTGAATCACAGGTAGATTGGGAGTGGTAAACATCTGAGACCTGCATCACTTCAGGCTTTCCTCCCACATTTAGCTGACACGCCGCGATATAACTGGAATACTGTTAAAAGCAGCGCTAAACCCAACTCACTCACTCTGTTTCTTGAATACTTATCATGCTGATGGTAAAATTCATTGTCAACCATAGTTCTTCACTGTTGAACATGTAAAGGTAATCATTTATTTCAATTGATATGTTGTATATTTTTTTTAGATTCAAATTGAGTCCTACAATCTTAATAAAATTCACCATCCTTTTGAATATCTGTAAGAACATGAATCATTCAAATGACTTACATATGTATTTTGTTTTGTCACCATGCCCCTTAATATCCTTAGAGGATACAACCTTTTGTTAAGTCTGTATGGGAGAAACACAAGCAGACACCAAGTTACAATCAACATCAAGATCTCAGTCCCATGACCATGTCTTGCATAAACTTGGCCAAGGATGTAATGAAGAAGTTGTTAAGATAGGAGGAAATATCTGTTACACCATAGGCTCCTATTCCTTCCTTCCAAAGTCACTCATTACAATTGTTAGTTGTATTGAAACAAAGTGTATTGTGTTAAAGATCTATCAAGACACTCAAATATCTGCTAATATGTTGACATTGGAGGAATTCTGCAGGTGGCAAATTGTGACGGTCCCACTCAGCAATAGACGAGATTTGTAAACCAGGCAAATGGCTACTTTGTCCTCCTCCACTTGGATTGCCAATCCTCAATCATTCCTAATGTCCAATAAAATGCAAAGTTGACACCCCCAACCAAATATTCAGTGAGTTAGTGACTGTTTCAACAGTCACTAACTCACTCATTCATTCATCTGCCACATGTAGTTGAATTTTGCTGATGTTGAATGTTGTTAATCTGATACTTGATGATGGTGACCATGGTAAATATTACATTTACTTACAGACACCGGACAAAGGAAAGGCTGAGGGTTTAGTTGAACAGGCTTCAAAATCTGAGGATGAAAAACAGAAACTGCCTGGTATGAAATTATTGTACATTGTAGTAATTACATTAAGTAATACGTTACCACTGTTATACCGAGGCTGTTGTCTCCCACAACTGCTGCTATAGCGAAATCTACCACAGAGATCTCAATTGCCTCATGCAGCACGTGCGTAGCGACCTAGCTGCCATGTGACACCCTTCACTCTTGTCTCCTTCGTCTGCGTAGCAAGACGTGTATACCTACTGCTGAAGCGTTCCTTGAATATTTGGTGATATTTATTATAGTTTATTCTCTAATAAACTGTGCTTTTTATGGGGCGTTGCGGTAGCTCGTTGGTTATAATTTTCCCGCCAAACGGAAAATTTTTCCCGCCCTTTTTTTCTATATACTTGCGGGGTTCGCGTATGCACGTTGTGTTTTACGTTTCTCCTGTTCTTGTATGTTTTGGGGGTTAAGATCACTTATTTCTTTCTATAAAAGTTATATGTGTATGTTATATGTGCACATTGCTCGCTTATTTTCTTGTGAAAATGCTCGTTTGTGAATCATTGTGGTGCGTGCGTTGTAACCATGTTTTGTTCTTTGTTTATAGAATACAAACAATGTCTGACATGGAATTGTCCCCAGTCTCCACCCCCTCTACCCCTGCTCCTCGGAGTTGCGGGGTGTGCCGAAAATTTTTGTCGTCCCGGGATCCCCACGATCGTTGCCCGCGGTGCAGGGTTCTTTGCGGGGACACCCGGTGCACCCTGTGCGAAGGTCTGGGGCCTGCGGAGTTTGAGCGTTACCGACTGTACGTACAGTCCGGTTCGTCCGGTCGGGGTCCCCATGCGGGTACCACCTCCTCGGCTGCGGCGGATCCCCTTGCGGCCCTCGGGCTGTCTGGGGATTCCGTTGCCGCATTGTTGTTGAAACTTGTGGACTCCAAGCTGGCGGCCTTATCGCAAGATAGGCCGCTGGCTGTTCCGTCCCCGGCCTCTTTGGTGGCCGCGGGGTTCACCGGTACGGCGGCGGCTGCCGTGGTTACCGGTCCTTCCCCCGAACCGTTGCTTCCGCTATCGGTTAAGGACCGCGTGGCCATGGTTTATGACCTCTTCGAGGACATGCCAAAGCCCCTGCCGATACCGCGGGGAATCCATGGTTCCGTGGGTTCCTCCGAGGTGTACGACGAGATGTCCGACAAGGCTTTCCCGGCTTTGGAGAAGGCCTTCGCGGCTGCCTCCGGTCGGGGTCTCCCGTTACCTCCAAATTAATTTCCCTCTTTTCGACTGTTTAACCTGATCTAAGATTTAGCTCACGCGGATACAGTGTTCTCATCCGCTGCGGCGATGAAATACCTATCCAGTGTGGCCGTTTGGAGTCACCAATCGTTTTGGCAATGACGATTGAGCCTTATGGTATGCGCTTGACTGTGCTTTGGTATTCCTATAGGGTAACGCCTAGCTAGGTGCATGCGCATCGAGTGCTTCCGCCTTGGTGTTTACTCCCGCTGGTCGGAAGGAACGCTAGCAGTCAGCATTCGGGTTGTAGGTGCTCCCCACCGCCTACTGTGGTAGTCAGCCTCGGTATAACAGTGGTAACGTATTACTTAATGTAATTTGTAGAATTTTCCTGTTCGGAATATTCTATAAGTAATACGTTACGTTACCACTGGGCCGCTGCCCGCCCGTCCGTCCCCCAAGCACTTGCTCTCGCAAGAGACGAGTGAAGGGTGTCACATGGCAGCTAGGTGGCTACGCACGTGCTGCATGAGGTAATTGAGATCTCTGTGGTAGATTTCGCTATAGCAGCAGTTGTGGGAGACAACAGCCTTGGTATAACAGTGGTAATGTATTACTTATAGAATATTCCGAATAGGAAAATTCTACAAAATCAAACAAAATAAATCCTCAAAGAATTTATGAATCTGGAATAATTTTTGTGTGAACTAAAAGTAGAATGTCTTCAAGTCTATTGACCCAGGTCTCATAGATGCAGTAACCATGGTTATTATGGCATGATGGGGACCTGATTTGGCCTCAGTATGTAAATGGGTAATCACCAGAAAAGACTGCAGTGATCAGTTGTTTCTTTCTTATCCAGACATCATTGCAATATAGGCTGCCATAATTTTGCTGATAGTTGCTTGAATCCTCATTCACTTACTCAACATGATTGACCTCTTGAATAAGCACATCAAATTTAGCTGTAAGATACAATATGTTAGAAACTGTAACTAGCGACTACTTTCTGCTTTTTGCAGCATCAGTGTTCGTGGCTGCTACAGAGAGTGAGATGTCACATGAAGATGTCAACCCAACTGATATTGACAGAGTGGAGGACAGCCACAGGTTTGTGTCCTGTCTCCTGTGTTGTCTTCTACCAACACTGGACTTGGTGTGTGTATGATGATAGGAAACTTGGGCCTGCGGTGTGGAGTAAAATGTTTTGCCATCTAACACATGTTTAATTTTCTGTTCTGGGAGTAAACTTTAGTCCTTTAATTGATGTTTGGGTTTACATGATCACTGCATGATGATGGTGCCACTTCTGTCTGTAGCTCTCTGCTTGAAATCTCCATCACACAATCACTAAACTTACATTAATAGGTTGGTCTGTGAAGTGTCATCAGATGTAATGGCTCGTTCATGATGGAATTTCCTTTAGTCTTACTGTCATTCGAACACTTCAAATACTTCTTGCTTAACATTGGTTTCATTGAATTCTCTCATCCAATATGTCTACTTGAATGAATGTACAAATGTATTGAATACCATCAGATTTCCTAGTACATATTTGCAGATGTCAAGACTCTGACCAGTCTTATCTTAGGTCTGGATTCTAATCAAGTATATTCAATATTGGAAACTTTTGAGCTGCAACATAACAGAGATGTTAATGCTATACAGATCACTCTTCTATATTTACCAAAATAACAGTAGTCAAAAGGAAACCCAGCATCAATGATGAATATCTTATAATGGACTTCTTTGTGTAATTTTCTCTATTTCTTATATGTATATAGTATGTCCTGTATGGGGTGGAATACCCGTTGTGCTCAATCACTAAACAGGAATTTTGGTAAACATATTTTACTGCTTGCTTATTTGTTTCTTCTCGTCATGCCGCTAGTGCCTTCTTTTAGCATTATTCTGCAACACTGTTTCAGTGAGGAGGAATCTGATAGTGCTGGCGATGTGACTATGGTGAAAAAGGTGGAAGGCATTATTGAAGGTGAAATAACATTTCTGTTCTGTTTACTTGATCCTGTGTTTTTATTAAGTATTACTTGAAGGTAGAATCTTACAGATTTGAAATGAACTAATACCTCATGTTATGCATTCTTTCTCCTGTACTACTACACTGATAACATACAAGGCTTGAATGTATTGGAAAAAAGGAAGTGTATTGAGATATTATAAACAAATGATGTGTATGATCTTTATGTTTTATAAGGTTTCTGCTAAGAGAGAGAGAGAGAGAGAGAGAGAGAGAGAGAGAGAGAGAGTTTGTTACACTTTGAGTTGCATATTGTAATTGTTGCTTTGCTTGCAGAGAGATCAGATTCTCCTATATACGAGAGTCAGGATGAAGATATTGCAGCTCGAAAGGCATCTGGGTAAGAGTTGTGATTCATACACCTAATTTTACATGACCTATATCCCCATGGGGAGACCTGGTTGGATTTAGATCCAAGCATCCTTGGCTGGTTGTAGAATGAATGGATCCCATACTTGCTGTAATAGGCAACTAATAGAATCAGGTAGTCAGACTTATTGACTTGGTGGATGCATGTCATCGTATCCCAATTGTGGAGATTGATGCTCACTGAATTTTCTGGTCAAGGATCAATTAATTTCAGAATATCGTCATGTAGCTGGAATATTGCAGGGTGATGCATTAAACAAACAAACTTCACAAGTTTGTACACACACTTTTGAATACATACGGCAACTATGTTGTGTGGTCAATATGTTTATTGGAGGCACGTAGGAGGTATTCATGATGAAAATAGTTTGAACCATTACCACTCATGAACACAAGACCACGTACTTACTTAAATAAAGTTAAACTTATTTTGTTAATAGTACAATACAACAATTATTAGTAAAAGAGACCCGTGAAAATCCAGGGTAGAATAGGTCTTAGCAACCCATGCTTGTCGTAAGAGGTGAGTAACGGGATCGGGTGGTCAGGCTCGCTGACTTGGTTGATGCATGTCATCGATCCCAATTGCGTGGATGGATGCTCATGATATCAATCACTGGATTGTCTGGTCCAGACGGGATTATTTACAGACCGCCATCATATAGCTGGAATATTGCTGAATGCGGCGTTAAACAACAAACAAACAAACAAATATGAGGAAAAGATATTACTTTGGGTTCTTCACTTTATTATTAACAATGAGGGGATAGGATTTTAAAAACCCCAGATCTATAGTGCTCAGAATAAGTTCTTCTAGTGTGCTTTGTAAATTTATCCATTGAAAAACTGCATAAACAAGGTCGTCAAGGATTTGCTGATATGAATGGCCATTCAGTCTCTGAAAGGTTTGATGGTATGCATTGTTAACTGTAGCTGATGTCCTGGGCCCACTTGTACAAAGCGATCTTAGCGATAGGATGATCGTAAGTCCCATACTTTAACATAAGCTTAGTGCTAAGATTGCTTTGTGCAAGTGGGCCCTGGTGTTTGAGGGTAATCTTACTTCATGTTGTGATCTCTATTGGTCTGCTTGTCTTGTAGCAGTCGTCAAAACTTGCAGAAACTATTCCCATCACCGCTGTCTCAGGATGAAGAGACGGACCATCAAGGTCTGTACAAATTTGGGGCCAACACCTGAATGGTCATGACATCTGGCACAGATCTGTTCCTCTGTAGCAGCCATATTAAACATGTTCTTTAGTCAACTGAGCCTGTTTGTCTGTCATTCGTTGTTAGCAGAAAATCTCAAACTTCAAATATTTGATCTTACATCAATTTGTTCAGGAGGTTTGATTCCAATTTTTGTGGCAACCATTTTGATAAAACTATTTATGGCCATTTTTTTGTTAAATATGTAAGAAATTCGGTACATTTGTAGTGGGCTCAGCATGTGCTGGTTTGTGTTGCAATGTTTCTAATTTTGACCTTGTTTTGACCCTGCTCTTTAGAATTGCATGTTTAAATTTGTAATCTTTTTCTTTGAAGTTAGTCAATTATCATGCTGAAAAATTTGAAGATCAATGCTGACATTTTTTTAAGTGTTTACTTTAAAAACTGTTGATTACATACCAAGGTTAGCTGCCATGATGGCACTTGTTTATCATGTCTGTCGGCCCTGTTGATAAGTAGGACAGTATCAGTGTCAACTGTTACTATTTTGACAGGTTGTATTCAGGTGAAATACATTGATTGTTGTATCAGTTGTTACACTGAATTGACCTTGTGTTGCAGAACATATTGTATCCACACCATCGGAACATTTGGGCAGTTTGCAGTTGTCTTGTGAACCTGTCAGAGTGGTGGAGACGGTGGATGAAAGCCTGTGAGTAGTTCAGTGTATACAAACTCATTCTAGGCTGAACTTAAAGATTCTCAGGGTCCATAAGTAGGAATAGGAGTTATTATTTGACAAACAGGGCTTGACATCTGTACAAAACAGACACTGGTTAACATCTACTAGCCCAGTTTGTGTACCACTAGCCCGATTACCATTTGCAGGTATTTGCATTGGTCAATGTGTATTTATCTGTATGTTTACAGAATGTTTCAAAAGTCAACATTTTTAATTTTCATTTAATAGTTGTCTTTCATGACTAATAACATCCATACAATTATTCAATTCGGCCCTAAATTTAACCACTAAATTTGTTGAGGTAGTGAGCATCAGCATCACGTGTCTCAACTGTGGTTTTGTTTCCAGTGACGTGTTGGCTCCCTCCCCTGAAGCATATGGAGACATACCTGTCATCATACCCAGCTCTCCCACTGCCGGGGAGGTGGAGCCAGGTGAGCTAAGGCCGAGTGCACACTCGGGGACACGAACACCAGCTCACATTATGAGCTGAAAAACATATACATCGTGAACTTTTCAGTGTGACAGGTACCCGTTTCTTTGACAATGTTACTTGTAGTTAGTTGACGTTTTCACTTCCAGCTGACTTTAAAAACTGATTGAGATATCCCTACGCAGGCAAGTCTCACAGAGCTATCAGTTTTGACCATGTTCACATTGATGAAACATGGAGAGGAAGTTAAAACTTTCGTAGTTGATCTGTTGAGTGGTTTTAGAAATCACTTTTACAATTACAAGCTATTTGCATTTGAAAACAGAGTTAGGTTGTGATTCCTATGGTTCAACATATATTGACTGATCTGGACCAATTTTGCTCATTGCATATCTTCATTCAGTACCTTCAGGCCTAGTACCTAATGTAGGTTGTAGACATGCTATTGTCATGATGGTGTTGCTGCTCAGTGATCTAGCAGCTAGCAAGGCTCTGAGTTTATTGTTGAAAAACACCAGAAACATTTACCTCTTTTTATAAAACAATCATCCCCTTTCTTACATGACAGATACACAATCTGAGAAATTTGTTTCCATGTCGGTGTATTGTAAGGTTTTTGTGAGACATTTTGTATATTTTATTATAATCAAGTGGAGACTGCTCCAGTCTAATAGGAAAGGTACATAGTGTCTTGGTTTAATACAAGAAAAGTTGTGAAATACCTAATGCTTCTGTCTTGATGCTTTAAACATTTCCTATCCTCCAGATGAGTGCACCTACAACCCTGATGCTGATAGGACATTGGAAGCTGAAGACAGGGTAAATTTGGTAGTTTGGGAGTTTAGGTTGACGTAAAATAACCCTGGCAGCTATTTACTGGTGGAATCAAAATTGTTCAAATAAGAAACCCCCCACAAAATGCCCCACCTGGGGCTTCAACTGATGCCCAGCAACCAATGCTTGTCCTACCACCCAATGGGTGATCAGGCTCAGTGACTTTGTGGATTGCTTGTCGTCATGCTGTAAAAGCTTGTCGTAAGAGGCGACTAACGGGATCGGGTGGTCAGGCTTCCTGACCTTGTTGATGCATAGCATCGATCCCAATTTCGTGGATGGATGCTTATGATATCAATCACTTGATTGTCTGGTCCAGACTCGATTATTTACAGACCGCTGTTATATAGCTGGAATATTACTGAGTGCGGCGTAAAACAGTTGTTGCTCATAATTACTGGATTGTCATTTCCAGACTCCATTATTGCCATGCTGCCATGATTTAGCTGAAATATTGCTGAGACAGTAATATATATATTGCTGAAACAACAACAAAAATACTTTGAATGTCAATTTAATATTTTTGTTTGTGCAATGATAATACCATCCATGTCATTATATGCAGTTCATCTCGTAGTGTCTCAACCCTAACGCCTTTACTTTACCACTCACCACTGGTATATTTAATTGTATCCTTTGCCATGTGCTCGTACGGCAGTTTTTTTACACTACCACTTCCGGTGGTCTCGCTCTCAGTGTATCTCTTAAATTGTTATAATGTTTTTTATCACTCTTGTCAGGCCAATTGACCTTGCTTAGGTATTATTCTCCCATAGCCGTGTTATCGTAAACCAACATCCATGTAGATTAATTTCTTATATACTCCCATGATATCTTTCACTACCGGTCATGTGCAGTGTTAAGGAATGACGTCACATGTTTATTTATTTAAATTCCTTTCAGCTTCCATCTTGCCGTTTAACCATTGTTCTGTCAAGTCAATTTGGTAACACCACCATTCGACTTCTTATCGATCCGCAATCTTCATTCCTGTCAGCAGAGGGATTCTTTACAGCCTCATGCTTTGAAATGGCTGACAGGACTACCAGACGTCGCGGCAGATCTGCTAGTCTCAACACAAGTACTGCTAGGGTTAACGAGGCGACCCTTGACCCAAACCAAGATGGCGACCACCGCAGCATGCCCAGAACTAGGAATGCTCCTTATCTCACTATAGCTGACCTTCGACTTCGTCTCGCTAGTCAAGGTGTCAGCGTGCCTGCATCGTGGAACAGACAGCTGCTGTTCCAGCTGTATACTGAAAACAACCGAGGGAATTCCATGTCACATCCCATAACAGAGACCACAAACACCTCCGTTTCAGAGTGTCAACAAGACTTGCCAAGCAGCAATCACAACACTAACTTGCCGGGCACCATTACCAGTTCATCAGTCTATCCAACAACTCCCCAGCCTGATGTACCTAGCTTGGCAGATTCTGTCCCTGTGATCCCCTCGGTGGCGGGATTGCAAAAGGAAATTGCCGAGCTTAGACAACTGATCACAACCACAGGGCTCCGCGCGATGCCTCTACTAGGCCACCCTACATCGAATACCCTGAGTGGTATCGAGACTTCTCTCCTGACCCCCGCTAGCAACTCAACAGAGGTTCCATCAGACTCCTTACCTCATATCCACACAGTGTCCCCCACCTTAAGGAAAAAGATCCAGGAAGGTAAATATGTTAATTTGGGTTTGTTGACATTAACTAACCAGGACAGTTTGGATACTGGAGTAACTGAATTCGAGGGGAATGTATACTCACTCAAAGATGACCCCAGGCCAAACCCAGGACACTGACACTCGGAGAGTTTTTCCAGGCATTCGGTATTTACAAAGACATTAATTGTGAGAACAATGATGCCAAAAGGAAACAGCTGGATGGCCACGAGCAGACTGTGATCGAACTTGCTACTCTGTACGGCGGGACATGCTACTACGACTACCACAAACTTTTCACAGCTCGTGTGGCCGCTTTTGAGGCAAAAGGAGTTGTCATTCGATGGGACATGAGAGACTCAAATCTCTACAGCCTGTGCTCCTCAGGGCGCCGTACCAGGACGTGTTCAATGTGTCAAAGTGTAACCCACGGCACCGACGTCTGCCTGAGTATAGCTACAGCTCGCCGACCAATTGTCAGGCCTCAAGACAGACATGTCCCATATGACCGACGTAACGCGGACAGCAATGCCACGTACATAGACTCAAGAGGTAGACCTCGTGTACAACGTGATGGACAAGAGATCTGTAACAACTTAAATGATAGCGGCTGCAGCCGCCAACAGTGTCCTTTCATACATACCTGCCTCATTTGCCATACAAGAAAGCACAGCAAGACACAATGCCAGAAAGCGCAGAAGGATTGACTACACTATGCCTTAGACAGAGCAAGTACTAAGCAGACACTGACGTTAACACCTATTAACATTGAGAGATTAAAAGCGGACTTACAATTCCACCCAGACAAGTGTTTCTTCGATAATCTCATTTCTGGCCTGGAGACAGGATTCAATCCAATGTTAGACTCTGTGCCTAAATCGACAGTGGAACGCCGCAACAACCTTAGTGCCAGGAGAAATCCAGTGGATGTGTCCGCAGCTGTCAGGAAAGAATGTGCCAAGCAGTACGTTATCGGGCCTTTCCAGGAATCTCCCTATGACACATACAGGGTTAGTCCACTTGGACTTGCCGAGGGGAAATATTCTCGGAAGAAACGTTTGATATTGGACTTATCGGCCCCCCATGATGACGATACCGTCCCTTGCATCAACCAAATATTTGACAAGACATCCTGTTCTCTTTCCTACGTAACACTTGATCATGCCATTTCTATCATTATTCAGCTCGGAAGAGGGGCCCTCATGTGTAAGGCAGATGTAACTGATGCCTTCAAGCAGATTCCATTAAGCCCCGACTACTGGCCATATTTTGGGTTCAAGTGGGAAGGACTACTATTTCTACACTCGGCTAGCCTTCGGTTGCCGATCTAGCCCCAAAATATTTGACACTCTGTCTCAGGCCATTTGCTGGATTTTGAGACACAATCATGACTTCCTTCATGTGCTACACCTGCTGGACGACTTCCTAGTCCTTGACCCTCCAGGCCACGACGCTGAATCGACCATGAGAACTATACTGTCTCTCTTCAAGAGACTCAACATTCCACTAGCTCTCCATAAGACACAGGGACCCCTCACAGAGATCAAGTATTTAGGCATCATTCTTGACTCAAATCATATGACCGCTAGGTTACCTCAAGATAAAATGCAACGCATAGCAGAGCTTCTTGGCAGATACTCCACAAAGAGAAGTTGCACCAAGAGAGAACTTCTCTCCCTGCTCGGACACTTGAACTACGCTTGCAGAGTGATCGTGCCTGGCAGGACGTTTGTCTCCTACTTGATCGAACTTTCCACAACTGTTGATAAGTTGCATCACCATGTTAGTTTGTCAGGCGATTGTAGAAAAGATTTAGCTATGTGGAACAAGTTCTTGATAGAATGGAATGGTATTTCCCTCTTCCACGAGCTCCACATCTCACCTACCCCAGACATTGAGCTGTTCACTGATGCGGCTGCTACAGTGGGACATGGGGGCTATTACCAAGGTGCCTGGTTCGCTGAGAAATGGTCGGAGGAAGTGCTATGTAGTATGTCCGGTGAATTGTCTATGGCCTTCATGGAACTCTACCCGATCATCGTGGCGGCTATTCTCTGGGGTCATCTCTGGGAGAAAAAGCGTGTGCTCTTTCATTGTGATAATCAAGCTACCGTGTTCATCATCAAGAAGGGTAGATCTAAATGTAAAGGTATCATGTCCCTCATGCGCCGACTCACTTGGACAGCAGCAGTCAACAACTTTGTGGTATTGGCCCATCACGTACCTGGCTCAGATAATAACATTGCTGATTCACTATCTCGTTTGCAGATCACCAAGTTCCAAGCCCTGGCGCCGCCTATTCGACTGGTATGACCTGTTATATAAAGTTCTTGCTGACTTTCGGACTGTTTCAAACCATGTTCTATCACAGACTCCCTCCCGTGAACGAGGTATATTTACAGTACTTAATTGCCCATTGTTATGGCGTGCTGCAGTTGAAACATGTCACTGTTAAGACCTACCTAGCTGGGGTGAGGTTCTTTTACCTGCAACGTGGCATTACCACGATATTCGACCATCGTGGATCCGGGGCGTTGAACAGACTGCAATCCATCATGAGAGGTTACAAGAAGTTGCAAGCTCCTACTCCAAGAAAACGACTTCCCATCACCCACACAGTGTTGGCGCTAATCGTGTGTACACTGTGTGCAGGAGTACTCGGACCGTTAAATGACCTTGTAATGGAATGCATGTGCTTAACTGCCTTCTTCGGGTTTCTCAGATGTGGAGAAATCACGGGTACTGCCAGGTTTGATCCCAGCGCTAACATTTGTTTGAGTGACATCAAGTTTGACTTCGCTAAGAGAAAGTGCACTATCCTGCTGAAAGCTTCCAAGACGGATCCATTTCGAGTAGGCGTCCCCATAATATTGTTTTTTCTAATAGTCGCTTGTGCCCGTTCTCAAGTTTGAGGAAGCTCTTCCATACCAGAACTCTTCAGCGAGCTTCTAATGAGGATGCACTATTTGTGGACGCTCAACACCAGCCCATCACACGGGCATTTTTTCTGTCCTGGCTCAGCAGAGTGCTGACTAGGGCCAGTTTTAACTCAAACGATTATAGTGGGCACTCGTTCCGTATTGGTGCTGCCACCACCGCAGCTAGCGCCCGGGTGGAGGACCACCTAATTAAGACTATGGGCCGCTGGAATTCAGACTGTTTCCAGAGATATATTAGAACTTCAGAAGAGACTCTGCTTAACGCACAGCGGTCGTTATGTGGACCCTAATCTACCAGACAGATTCCGTGCCATATTCGTATTAGTTATCAGGTTTCGTGATCGTGTATCCTTCTCATCTTTGGGGGCACTCGGTCGTACACAACCTCGTTTTGGCGTCTCAAGCCATTGCATGCCTCAGGCAGCAGCATTACATGGCTTGGGGCCCCCAAATATTCCTTACCTACCTGGTCCGGCACAGCCACCAGTTCACATTCCATACCTGCAGGGTACCCCTATCATTCAATCTAATAATAATCTGCTCCTTTTCCTCAACACCTCTCTACCTGCAGGGTAGCCCTATCCTAGCAGGCCAGCACGGCCTTAGAACTAACCCCCATCCGCAGGACATTCCGTGTGTGACCGAGCAGCCCCCTTGTATATAGCATATATATCCCAACGTGTATTAAACTATATTGTTTCCTTTACCCTTTGTCGTGTTTTCATTGCACAAATTTCTGTTTTCCAGCAAGCTAAGAGGCATTCTTTGGACCGGCGTGAACGGCTTCCACCTCCATCAAATACTGATGAGCCAATCACAGAGGAAGATACAAATCCAGATCAGCTAGTCACAGTGGACAAAGTTATTGAAAAGGAGGAGGTTTGATATTTTTATTATTACCCATGTGGGATCAGAGAATGACAGTGTTGTTCGAAATGTAAATGCTCAGTTGGTAATTGTAATGCTATTGCTGCTTTGGATCATGTTTGATTTGCTGTTGCAGAAGAAAAGACAGTTGTGATTATGTTTTAATGTACATGATAACCTTTAAATATAGTAGTTTCCTGTTGAAGGATGAGGTGGTGTTGTTGGACACCAATGTGCGGACCCTGGCAGGGGAGGAGACGCAGGGAGAATCACTGCACCTTGTATACACTGTATCACAGCCTGCAGACACCAGGCTACCATCACAGCACACAGGCACCAGGCTGCCATCACAGTCTAAGGTACCACACAATATTTCATATTTGTTTGAAAATAAATGCAGAATTATGTTATTTTCAAAGAACATTAAATGCTATCTCAGGCTGAAAAAAAGAAAGAAATTGGTTCTCAGGTGTAACGGTTCAGGGGGTGGGTATTGGGGTACAGCTCTGGTAGCGAATTGTGGATCACTCCCAATACCACCAACCACACAGTTTTAATTATTTATTTTTTTAAGAATAATTTCACAATTAAGAATTGCACAATAAGATTTATTAATTTACAAGAATATAATTATTCTTTTCAGTATTTCATTCAGTTAGGAAGATGTACAATAAATATAACATACTTGAATGTCAACTCACATATCTCGGCTCGAACCGGCTTTCACTCTCGTATCAGAAAATGTACAACCGATCAAACTGTCAACAAAGTGACGTCATACCGGAAGTAGTCTCTCGCACGAGGATACGGTCGGTGGAACGTGGGGAAATTGCACTCCACCAGTGACAGAAGTTATCTTACTTCGAGTCACGGCTGTGTAGTAATATACAATGCATTTAGATGGACTAGATGCACTTTTGTAGCCATACAAGGCTGATTTAAGCCATTATGCTACAAGAAGTAGTTTCGTGGAACAGACTCACGAATATAGGTGACGTCACACAAACTATCACGTTGCCAAATCGAAACAGGTGATTTAGAACGTGTTCACATTTTGTTTTTGCACATTAAACAAACAGTCAGTAAGATCAGTGGTGATATACGTTAATTCATGTAGCAATAACGTATATCTTTACGGTATGCTGTATCACATACAACATATACAATATGATTCATCTCACTGTCTACTGACCGAAATGTACAAAAGGCTTGTACCGTATTTTCTTGAGTATAGTGCGCACTTTTTTTCCAAAAAACACAGCTGTGTGGAAGGGGGTGCGCATTATACACGAATTATGAGTTTGGATGTTTTTTTCCCCCATGGAAAGACATTACCGTGAGCACGAAACACCGGAAATACCATGTCAACAAATCCATACTGAAGAACGCAAAATAATCATGTAATTACACTGTCTGGCTATATCTTGACTTGTGTTTGTAACTTATTTCCTTAATTTTATTCAAAATTCCTTTTAATATTGTTTTTTTAATTTCGGCGAAATCGTGTGTGAAGCGATCGGAAGATCGCACAACTCTACGTTATTAACAGCAACCACGGTCAGAATACCGCTATTGACGCCTTGAAACAAACTTTAGTTGACAGAGAATGGATACATATATCATAAATGACATACTTTGACTCGTTAAAAGTCATATTTGTTTTTGTTTGACGATTCTATGTCAACATGAAATTCTCGCGATCACGCGATCATGTGCGCGTGAGCCTTGACGGTGACTGGTCAGATTGGTTCCATGTAAAAAATAATACCCGGGAATAGCAATCAGCTGCTTCGCTTAGGGTTATTATTATTTTAAATATGTTTAGTAAAGGCTGCATATAATTAAGAAAATAATGGAATATATTATTTCTGATAAAAAAAATAGTTTCAGGTACAATTTTTGCCGATCCTTGCATTAAAAATCCTATAAAGTTATATCACTGGATGTGTCTTGACCGAATCACCAGTCGATTCCAAGAAAACGTGTGTACAGCTGATTGCTGTTTCCGGCTTAGTTTACGAGACAATACACAAGGTAATCTTAATCCCTGGATATAAAACAATGCCTAGCAGAACAATAAATACTATTTAATCGGTAAATAAACATGTCTGGTGATTTTTTATCTCCAATTTCGAATTTGTACTGACAAAGTTTCTCATCACCCGTTCGTTTGCCGGACTTCGCTGAAAGGGTACGGTGTAATTTTTTTCTGCGCATAATAGTCAATTTTCTTTTTTTTCAAAATATTGAACCCGCTAGAGGGGGGTGCGCATTATACACGGGTGCGCACTATACTCAAGAAAACACGGTACATTACATCAGGCAATAGCTTTTGAAAATATCATGCGGGGTCGTCTTATACACAGGGTTGAAGAGATTTTTTTCATGTTTTTTTTCCCAACACAAAGACACTGGAAACACCATGTCCACAAATCTGTACTGAAGTACGCAAATTAATCATGTAATTACACTGTCTGGTTGTTAAAAGAGTTCATAAAATATCTGGACTTATGTTTGTAATCTATCTTATTAAGTTTATTCAATACTTCATTCAATATTGTTTCAATTCATTTCGGCGAAATCGTATGTGAAGTGATCTCACAACTCAGTATTATTTACAGCAACCACGGCCCTATTACTGCTATGACGCCTTGAAACAAACTTTAGTGGATAGAGAGTGGATAAATATATATATCATAAATGCCATACATTGAATTGCTGAAAGTCATATTTGTTGTAGTTTGACTATTATATGTCAAAATAAAGTTTTCGCAATCGTGGGCGTGGTAGCGGGAGCATCAACGGTGATTGGTCAAATTCTTCCATTCATCTTAATCTCGCAATCAGAACAGGAAATACAATTTAATGGGTAAATCATCATGTCTATTGATGGTTTATCTCAAATTTGTATTGGCCAAGTTTAATATAATCTGTTAATTTCCCTGAATTCGCTGAAGGGATACGATGTAATTTTTTTCTGGGGAAGACAAACACGTTTTTATTGTAAATGTAGGGATTTTGTATGCACTCCTATTGCTGCTAAGACCGTAACACACAAGATGCCCAGTTAAGCAGTGCGCCTGAAAAGGGAAGCATCTGCACATTATTTTGGATCGCATTGTTTAAAGTATTGTAGCATTTCACTGTTGGGGTCATGTTTTCGAGATGCGGAATATTTAAGGATTTGTTTGTTTGTTGAAAATGGAAATAAAAACGAAACGTGCGGCGGACTTTATGATGATGCGGTGGTGCCTGAGAACCAAGAACGTTGTCTTTTTTAGCCTTACATGATCATGTGGTTTTGGCAGGGATATATTAGTAAAGTAGACAATAGACATAAGGAAAGTAAGAATTGACACCCCAAAACACATGAGATAAAAAATGAGTAATATGAACAGTACACATAATCTAGTCATCAACATTATCACAGTTAGGCTTAAAAAAATAAAAGAATTGGTTCTCAGGCAATAGTTTTTGAAAAATATAGTGCTGGCGGGAGGTGTCTTTTTTTGTTTGTTGTTGTTCAAATTCATAAGTAACCAAATAAACGGTTGTATAACCAAAAAAACAAATGTAACCAATCAACCGGGGAAAGGGCCTCCGTTCATAAATGTATTCCTTGATAAGTAAAATACTGGAATACAGTATTTGACTACCGTTGGGCTAATTTAAGGAATATTTAAGGATTTTTAATATTTTTTTTAAAATGAAAATAAAAACGAAACATGCGGCAGACTTTATGAAGATGTGGATGGTGCCTGAGAACCAAGACTATTAATTGTTTTTAGCCTTACATATCGGTATAACATGACAAACAGGTTTTACTCTTACAGCAGCTGTTACAATGTACAGGAAGACAAACTTGATAATATATGGATCATTATTGTAAGTGTAATAAGATTATGAATCTCATACATGGTACATGCATATGATAAATAGGTACCATGTACATACATATTTACTGATCTAGTAATAAAATAGTTTCATGATAATTATGGCATGACACATTTAATATGCTACACACACAAACAGCCTGTACCTGGATTACACAAAGTGTGCCTACCCTTGGAATGTGACTGGCGTGTCCCCACATCACCACAACATATCCAGAATCTAAATAAAACATATACTTTCATAACAACAAGTTATACACCTGTACTATTTGCATCCCATATAATACATACAGTATATTACGCAGAACTTATCACAAAAGTGTTTCAAACAGCCTATTCCGTAAAATAACAGTTACACTCTTCCTTCATTCATACAAGAATAAAGGGATAGAAAGTTTATGTATTAGTAATTACAAAAGCTTGTAAAGTATAAGCCATATGTTTGCAACATTTACTTATAGATTATAGCTGTGATTTAGATAATAAACACTAATATTAAACTACTTAATATTACAGGTTTAATATACTGCAAGTGCACACAGAAAACATAGTAAACTCACCTGATATACATGATCTGCTGACAACTTGTCTGAGTACATGCAGTGAGACAAAGGGTCAACTTGAGTCTCAGCTTGGCCAATCAGTTGAGCATGTCATGGCTTAGGTTTGTTATAGGCCTAGGACCTGAAGGACACATGAACAATACTTTACTATCCTAACCACTAATTATGCATAAACACAGAACTGGAAATGGAATAAAAGACACTGAAAAATATACTACATGTGTACAAGGTTACACCTGCCACATGTGTATCTCATGTTTGTTTGAACTGCAGGTGGCAGGAACAGATGACCAGAGCAAGGAGGACCAGGAAGGTATGTTGATGATTGTGTGGATTGAACAATGCCTCAAACCCTGCTTGTGATATTAACACACTAAACCATCTTCATTAGAACTTGAAGCTGTCGAAGGAACAGCTGTGGCGGTCCTAGTCTGCAGATACGTGTTGGCTATTCATGGAATTATGAAATATTGTAGTTGGTGGAAATTAGGATATGTTGGTGTCTGAAATAAGTGGCTGAAAAAATCCAGAACAAATTAAGTCCTGTCTTTTGAAAGTCTGATTTTCAATTCCAAAGGAAGCAAATAAACATGCACGTAAAAGTTATCTGCCCTTGACAGAACAGTACTCGAAGTTAATCTTGATCTTATATGTCCTGACTGCTTGAGCTAACATGAATTAAATTTGTTCCATCCAGGAGGAGGTCATTGGCATAAAATATGTCACTGGAAAATATAGTTGAAAACTTTCACAAAACAGGCTATGAAATTATTATCAGATCTGATATGCTTTCTGTTATTAATCAGTACAGAGGCAACAAAGCCTTTTCCTCTTTACAGTAACAGTGAACTGCATGTTTGATTTGTGAAGTTTGCCGTATGCAGTCTGGTGTATACAGCTTGTTTATGCAGTGTGGTGTATACAGTGTGGTGTATACAGCTTGTTGTATGCAGTGTGGTGTATACAGCTTGTTGTATGCAGTCTGGTGTATGCAGTGTGGTGTATACAGCTTGTTGTATGCAGTCTGGTGTATGCAGTGTGGTGTATACATCTTGTTGTATGCAGTGTGGTGTATACAGCTTGTTGTATGCAGTCTGGTGTATGCAGTGTGGTGTATACAGCTTGTTGTCTGCAGTCTGGTGTATACAGCTTGTTGTATGCAGTGTGGTGTATACAGCTTGTATGCAGTCTTGTGTATGCAGTGTGGTGTATACAGCTTGTTGTATGCAGTGTGGTGTATACAGCTTGTTGTATGCAGTGTGGTGTATACAGCTTGTCTGCAGTGTGGTGTATACAGTTTGTTGTATGCAGTGTGGTGTATACAGCTTGTTGTATGCAGTGTGGTGTATACAGCTTGTTGTATGCAATCTGGTGTATACAGCTTGTTGTATGCAGTGTGGTGTATACAGCTTGTTGTATGCAGTCTGGTGTATGCAGTGTGGTGTATACAGCTTGTCTGCAGTCTGGTGTATACAGCTTGTTGTATGCAATCTGGTGTATACAGCTTGTTGTATGCAGTGTGGTGTATACAGCTTGTTGTATGCAGTCTGGTGTATGCAGTGTGGTGTATACAGCTTGTCTGCAGTCTGGTGTATACAGCTTGTTGTATGCAGTGTGGTGTATACAGCTTGTTGTATGCAGTGTGGTGTATACAGCTTGTTGTATGCAATCTGGTGTATACAGCTTGTTGTATGCAGTGTGGTGTATACAGCTTGTTGTATGCAGTGTGGTGTATACAGCTTGTTGTATGCAATCTGGTGTATACAGCTTGTTGTATGCAATCTGGTGTATACAGCTTGTTGTATGCAGTCTGTTGTATACAGCTTGTTGTATGCAGTCTGGTGTATACAGCTTGTTGTATGCGGTCTGGTGTATACAGCTTGTTGTATGCAGTCCGGTGTATACAGCTTGTTGTATGCAGTCTGGTGTATACAGCTTGTTGTATGCAGTCCGGTGTATACAGCTTGTTGTATGCAGTGTGATGTATGCAGCTTGTTGTATGCAGTCCGGTGTATACAGCTTGTTGTATGCAGTCTGGTGTATACAGCTTGTTGTATGCAGTCCGGTGTATACAGCTTGTTGTATGCGGTCTGGTGTATACAGCTTGTTGTATGCAGTCCGGTGTATACAGCTAGTATGCAGTGTGGTGTATACAACTTGTTGTATACAGTCTGGTGTATACAGCTTGTTGTATGCAGTCTGGTGGATCCTTTTGTAATAGTTTTGTGACATTATTTTTGTACATGCCTCAACACATGCTGCTGTGTACAATTACTGCTTGACCTTACTCCATTTGTACTCGTTGTACACAACTTTATTTCAGTCTTGCTACTGACTGGTTTTGATCTCTGTTCCTGAACTTTGATAATGTTTGTATGTCCAGAATGCTGTCCTGATTCTCAAGACCTGGCTCTTCATCTGTCCCAGTCCCAGGGAGGTTCACACACTCCTACAGGTACTCCATGGCTAGAGGAGTCATTAACATGATGCTGCAACATAGCACCTCTGTATATACAGCTTTATTACAGCTGATAGGACTGTTATTGCTGTCTGTAGCAACTGACGACTGTGTCTGGTCTACCCTCAGATGTATTATCTACTCCTGATAAACCCTCTAATTTTCACGAAACACTAGAGATGCATCAACGTCACTACATTCATTGTCTATCGGTACTTTCAACCTTGAACTTGGTGTTACAAATGAGTGTATCCCCCCCCTCGGACTAGACTGACATTTGTGGACAGTGTGTAGCCCCCCCCTTGGACTAGACTGACATTTGTGGACAGTGTGTAGCCACCCCCTCCCCCCCCCCCCCCCCCCTTGGACTAGACTGACATTTGTGGACAGTGTGTAGCCCCCCCCCCTTGGACTAGACTGACATTTGTGGACAGTGTGTAGCCACCCCCTCCCCCCCCTTGGACTAGACTGACATTTGTGGACAGTGTGTAGCCCCCCTTGGACTAGACTGACATTTGTGGACAGTGTGTAGCCCCCCCTTGGACTAGACTGACATTTGTGGACAGTGTGTAGCCACCCTTGGACTAGACTGACATTTGTGGACAGTGTGTAGCCCCCCCTCGGACTAGACTGACATTTGTGGACAGTGTGTAGCCCCCCCTCCCCCCCCCCCCCCCCCCCCCCTTGGACTAGACTGACATTTGTGGACAGTGTTTAGCGCCCCCCCGTCACTACATTCATTGTCTATCGGTACTTTCAACCTTGAACTTGGTGTTACAAATGAGTGTATCCCCCCCTCGGACTAGGCTGACATTTGTGGACAATGTGTAGCTTATATGTATTTTTTACATAATTATAAATAGAGATATTGTATTTACTGTGCCTTGTGTATTTCAAAATGTGTCTTACTCATTGTCACTTATTACTCCAGGGGTACATTTCAAAATATACTCGTATAATAATCTCTATGTCACTGTGACCTGTATAAAACCGAATGTGGACCAGGTAATCCTATCCCCCAGTTTCTACCAGTTTGTGGAAGTCTAAGATGTGTACAGGAGACAGGAGTGAGAGATTCACTGTTCCATGTCTGTTACAGCCCAGGTGAGCAGTCAGACGAAGGCTGCATCCCCACCAGAGAAGGCAGAGGAACTTGGATCAAGAGCAAGTCAGTCCAAGTCAGCATCAACATCCACTGACTCAAGTTTGTGATTAAGGATATATTTGTAACTTTATGTTGCTGGGAGAAAGTTTATTTTGGGTTTTATAGCCAAAGTGAAAAATGCACAAGATTTAAAAATCAAGCTAAGTTTCTTATTTTTTGTCAGAAGTTAGTACCTGTGCTTGGGACCCGTGAAGATTTCACGGTTGAAAAGGTCTTCATCAACCCGTGCTTGCCATAAGAGGCGACTGTGCTTGTCGTCAGAAGTGACTAATGGGATCGGGTGGTCAGGCTTGCTGATATGGTTAATGCTTGTCATCGTATCCCAAATACGTGGATCGATGCTCATTATGTCAATCACTAGATTGTCTGGTCCAGACTCAATTATTTTCAGACCACCACCATATAGCTGGAATATTGCTGAGTGTTGCTTTAAAATACAAACAAACATTTACGGCATTTTTCTAATGTCCTGTGTATTAGCTGAAGTTTTGTCCCAGCCAGGTTTCTGAAATGTTTCTCAATTTAAAGCATGGCTGTGTTTGTTGAAACTAGAAGTGTATCGTAATGATAGGGATGATTTGTTTTTTGCCACAGATGGCTTTCATCTGACATTGCCCAAAGATGGTGCTTTGATTCATCCTGTCCAAGTTCCTCAGAGTGACAAGGGGGAAGATAAAACAAGCTCACCACACCAGTAAGTTAGATTAGAAGATGAGGAAAGTGTAGTTTAATTGGCCCCTACATATATTGGTTTGAGCCATTATCATAAAATCTGGAAAGGATATGTAGCAGAATAATTATGTTGTCATTCATTCAACAGATTCTTGTGAAATTGCTAAGCTGATACTGTATCCCAAATAGCATGAAGTTTTATGACAGGCACAGTACCATGGTTATGTCTTTCAGAGATGAAGGAGATGCTGTAGATGCTGCTGTTACTGCTGCCCCCTCGCTGTCTATAGCGGCGCTGGTCTCACAGAGCCAGAGCACAGAGGAGACGACATTCAGAATACAGAGTAAGGAAAAGCACCACAGCTATTAGGTCATGGTGTAACATAGTTGGAGCTCATGAAAGCGCTAAAGTCTTGATGCACCGGCACCACTGCATCATCACAAATTCTGCTGCATGGAGTTACAGGAGTTTGTGTGCTTGTTTTGCCCTTTGCAAATTTTGTGAATGAAAACATGAAATTTTATGGTAAAGCATCACTGGATATTATGATTTACAAGTTATGGTATTTGTGTACTGAATGCGGGACAATGTTTCATACACAGAGATTAAAATTACATTTGTATTTGTCTCATAAAATGACTGAAATGAAAAAGAAAGGCTGTCCACCAACACTACAGTTTAAAAAGCCATTGCCTGAGGACCAATTCTTTTTAAGCCTTTTTATTGTTAAGCCTGTAGTCTTATTGTTGTAAATGGATCACCACAATAAAACCACCGATGTACAATGAAAGTGAAATGACATGCAGGGATTTCTTTTGTAAAATCATACATCTGTCAGACAGAGGGATCATCGTCATTGGTTGATTTGCTTTCATTGGAGCAGTTATACCGATCTGTCCTTCCATGGCACATTTGCAAGGCTTACAATGTGATCATTGTATGCCAACATCTGGGCCATGTGTGACATAATACAGAGCATGGTGTCTGGCAACAAGTAGATGATGCTGTCTAAATTAGAGGATAAACAGTTCTCTATTTGTGCTGAAACCCACTAGAAAGTGATGTATATCTACTGGTTCGTAGTGTAGCCTGACCTTATGACTCCCTGCCTGTAGAGCCAGACCTGCGGATGTCGGAGGAGGGGGAGGAAGGGAGCGAGGTGAATGTGTTCAAGAAAACACGATCTGGTGTGCGCAGACAGGTGGATCGGCAGCTCCACCTTTCAGATGAGAGGTATGAAATGTGTTTGAAATACTGCTGAATTTTCCAATGATAGAAATTGTTTGTATGGAACCAAAATGTCTTCCAATTTCAAATGATAATCATACTTGCCATAGGTTATATCAAATGTTTGTCAAAAAATTATGATCACCATGCATTTGAAACCTTGACAGCATTGTTGGATGAATAATTGTGAAACTGTGCTATGAATATACCTAACATAGACTCTGGCACATGTGAAAACATGTGAATGTAGCTGCAGGTCCTATGTGATACTGAATTTCAGATAAGCCTTCCTTTAGGGCAGCTTGTCCTATCTGTCTAATGTGTGTATACATGCTGCTCCCTAATTGGTCAAAACTTTTCTACTCAACATTTACACAGGACCCAAGTAGTCATCTTTAGTCAAAGGTGTGGTCCTTGGGTTGAGTAGTATATTAACCTCATGGGGATGCTGGGTTAGAATTGATACCCAGCAACCTATGCTTCTTGTACAACACAATCACTGGATTTTCTGGACCAAACTCGATCATTTACAGGCAGCCCTTGAATAGCTGGAAATGCTGAGTGGGGGCCAGCACTAAACAACAAACAAACGATAAACCTTTACATTTTGTAGTGAAGTTATATATTTGACCCATGCTTGGAGCCTTGTAGATGCTAATTTGGTCTTGCCTTCCATTATGCAGTGAGGATTTCTTCAATGTAGAACTGAGAGGGAAGAGGAAATCAGGACCATCTGCTGAGACCAAGTCTCCGCCAACTGAGAAGAGAGCTCGTACAGGGGACATAACTCATATTGATCAAGATGCAGAAACCCAACCTGATCAATCTGTTAGTGAGAAAAAACCTGCACATGTAAGCATACTGTCAGTGAAAAATGTTATAATGGACATTTGACAAGATGGCCATGAATATCATGAAAAATAGTAATTAGTGAGAATGATAATGTTTGCTGCTGTTGCTAAAGATCTAACTACATCACATTGTTAGGCATCATTGATCAACATGAAACTTGGTCATGGTGTCTCCAGTCAGTGACTCGTCACATTCTTCACATGGAGATTCTGGGGCAGAATAGGTCCCCCACTGGAGTCATAAGGTCCTCAGTAGCCCAGTAGTTGCTTACTCATCAAATACTATGCACACTTTAAGTCTGTTATAACAAGTATTTAGTATTTGATACATAGAACAAACAGATGGGATAGTTTATCAACTCTTTTTGATATCTAAACACTTTTTTATGCTTTTTGATACTTTAAATACTAAGTATGCCAGAAAGTTGATAGTAGACATCATGATGGTAAATATGTCGTAAGTTCAGGTGTCACGATGCATCCAACCATTGCTTACAAGCCGAGTGATGAAGGTACATATATGTTAATGTGTGGAAGCTACATCAACATTCACTCTTGTCATTTGTAGACTCAAGAAAAGGTTAACGCTCCTGATCCGTTTGATGAAAACACAGAGATTTATGAAGTAGATAAGAGTGTGGACATAGAAATGGTGGAGGATAAGGTGTCAAGCTCCCTACAGGAAGGAAGCTTGTTACAGCTCCAGACAACTCCCCAGGGTGATGGTGGAGCATCCCTAAGGAAGGAGGCTGAAGATCAGGACACACCTCTGCAGCACGTGCAGTCACAAACAGTCATGCAGACTGATGAAACCAGCAAACCAGTTGCAAGCAGGGGTGTGACTGCTCTCAGTCCAAAACCCAGCACCTCAAACCGTGATTTGTCTGAAAAAGAAGTGTCAAGTAGAGATTTGGAAAAGACCAGGAGTTCTCAATCTAAGGAGAAAGAGAAGCAGACCGTTGGAAAAACAGCACATGTGGACTCGACTTCAGGGTCGGTGGCGGACAGTAAGGGAGGCCGTCTCGCCAGTGTGAGTTTGTTGAAGGATTCGGGTATCGGTGATGCCCTCAATGTGACATCTGTGACGGAGACATCTCCTCAAGCTGCCCCCATGGTTTCTCTGCGGAGGAAATCCTCTGATCCTTACACCTTCCACGGGTCCCAGTCTCAGCAGATGACCACGGAACAGCCCATCACCAGCAGGGTTGGTAGTACATGTTGCACAGCCCAGTATATCGATGTTAATTTAATGGTTTTTATACAATTTTTGGATCAGTCCTGTGTAGTGTTAAAGATTATTATGATTTCACACTTTATTTACAGAAACCTTTACCAACAACCCCATTATCATCAAGGAAAAAACCTGGAAGAGGGCTGAAAAGAGTCTGTGCTAAAAAGGTTGCAAAAGATGATAGTTCCTTGTCTTCAGATTTGAAGGCATCGGCAAGCAAACCAAGGCCTAAAAAAGTGCGCAAGCCTGTCACCAGGATCCAGAAGTTGCCTGGCAGAAAAACTGCCATACGGGACAAGCCAGAAGATGCTCCCGGTAATAGTACTTACTAATCTCATGTAGGTTTAGTGCAGGTATCACCTTGCAAGATTAGTTTATTGAACTGTCTAGCAGATTTAGTGAATCTTAGCAACTATAGGTTAGTGAAGGTTAGTTATTGGTGGATTTACAAGATTACTGTGATCAGTTAAAACATATTGTGTTTTACTTGTGATCCTCTGTTGTTGTCAGGAGACAGTGGTGAGCCGCAGGTGGCAGTTACCAGTCCCGGCACAGGGTTTGAGGCGGACGTGAGTCACTCCCTGCCCAGTCAGAGGTCAACAGAGAGACATGTAGCATTCCAGAACATCCCTGGCAGGCCACCATCATCAGCCTCCTCCGCACCAGGAGCGGTAAGACTGACTCTAGTTCCTCAAACGTTGGATGTAGCTTTTCATTAATCAGTGTTGTACCAGAGTGGCACCCGGGGAACCTTCAGCCATGGAGTTTAGCTGAATTTGGCATGCTGTTGTAATACCTATAGGGGTGACCCTGTGACCCTGTGACCCTGTGACCCCGTGACCCTGTGATCGTCGTGCAGATTGCCGTCCTGCAATCTGCTAGTTGTGAGTTTGAATCTCTGATTTGTTATGATGATGATGACCCTTTACTGTTTGTATATGGTAACATCTGCATCATATGGGGCTTCCCTCCCACATTAGGCTGACACACTGTGTTGTAACTGATACTCTGTTCGAAGCAGGTTTACAGTCAACCTACTCATTACAGATTACATTATGAATGACATAGTGGTGACAGTTGTTTCCTCATTGTTTCAGTCTGCAGATCTGTCCGACTCCCAGATGTCAGACCAGCTGACAGAGACGGTGATCATCACAAGGAAGAAGAAGACTGTTGAGATTGAGACAATTGTCAGAATACTCACCAACAGAGAGGGCAAGGTGGTGGGGCGGGTCAAGAAAGAGGTGAGTACAAAGTTCTCCAAGATGATCGGGAAAGAGCAGGGTTCACCCTTAGATTTTTTTTACATGGACCCTTTATGTGAAAATTTCAAATGTTCCAAAGGTACACCTAGACTTGCCCATACAGCACAATGTTAAAATGCCCCATTGTATTTGAAAATGTGGGCCTTTATTCATGAAAGAGCAGTGAGTGAGTATAGTTTTATGCCACTTTTAGCAATATTCCAGCAATATCACGGCGGCTGGCATTAGAAATGGGCTTCACACATTGTACCCATGTCGGGAATTGAACCTGGGTCTTCGGCGTGACGAGTGAAAGCTTTAACCACTAGGCTACCTGACCGCCCCTGAAAGAGCAGACTTAGGATAGCTGTTACAGTTATATTGTCTTACACAACCCCATTATACAAGGATAAGTAAGTAAATGCTAGAAATGTGTATTAAGATTGCCTAACTGGAAGTCATGTGAGCTTATGCCTGTTTGTCCTGCATCTGTTGTGCGTTGTGTGTCGTCCATAGTAAACATCTTCTCCTTACAAACTAATGAAGCTGAAACTTCACATGCTTGTTCCCACCACTGATGACACCCTTATTAGTTCAAGGAGTTTGAATCCAAGTTTCAGTATGGCCCTGTCCGCAGGGTAACCGTTCCAATTATCGTGATATTTTTAATATTGACCTTTGCACTTTGACCATGCTCCTAAATCCTTTGAAAAGCATTTTGTTGCTCTTGTATTTGTAAACATATTTTCATCAGAAAGCACCCAACCAGTGAAACAGAAGTTTCACATGCTTGTTCTGTACCAATGATGACACCTGAATTTGTTTATGATGTTTGTATCTGATTTTTCAGTATTGCCCTCATCACACATACACAAGCATGTATGGAATACAAGAATGAGAAATAGTACAAATTAATATACCTATGACATGATACATATTTTACTTGTATTCTTTTTATTCATCTGGATAAGATTGGGGACAGTGGGGTAGCCAAGTGGTTCAAGCGATCGCTCATCACACCGAAAACCAAGGCTCGATTCCCCACATGGGTACAATGTGTATAGCCTATTTCTGGTGTCTGCCACCATGATATTGCTGGAATATTGCTAAAAGTGGGGTAAAACGACACTCATTCACTATAAACATATTACAGAACATACACTTTGCTTATACCTAAGTCCAATACACAAGTAAGTTGAATTAAGAATATGATGCTAGTTAAAGTACTATGTACAACAATGGTTAAAACACATAGTAACCCACCTGTCTCTAGATAAATAAAGTAATAATGACTTGAACTTACCCAATGTGACACGGGGAAGATAAGTTGTTCTCAGAAGTTGAATTGACAAAATATGCCGACTGGACAACAGAAGTTGGGACCTGGCTATTTCCATGATTGAAGAGATCATGCAGAACCCGAGAACAATAACAAGCTAATCACAGGCCAAGCTGTGACTGACATGGTGACAATAATCATGAACCTCAAAAGAAGTTGCTGAACTACCCAAGCTTGCTTCCCTAGGAATAAGTAGAAAATGTTGAAGTTAACATTAATTAGGATTAAAGTTAAGGATTAAAGGAAATAAATGTTAAATATTTTAGGTTAAGATTATTAATCTAATTCATCTTAGTTTAATTTTGATGCTTTAAAATGCAACCACATACTATTTACAAAGATAATGCTACACATGTACTACTGACTGTTGTTGTGCGTGTTTACCTTCACTGCACGTGACCTCCATTTACCCTGTAGACAATTCAGTGATTGATATTATGAGCGATGGATCACACCGTTATTGACGATGAAAGGCAATGAACCAAGTCACCAAGCCCGACCACCTGATCTTTTTGGTTGCCTCTTCTGACCAGCAAAGGTTGCTGGAGACGAGAACCTAGAACACGACAAATGTATTCTTGATGGATATTCTTCAGCATGATACAGTTCACATATAGTCATCTCTTTGTCTTTATTATTTCAGGAGGAGTGTGGTGAACCCTCGTTTACTACAACGTTCCACAGTGAGGAGACTAATGTGTTACCCTTAGTTTCCCCCTCTCGGACTGCAAGTTCCCTCACTCCCGGTGACCTGGCAGATGTCAGTTCTGGGTTTTCTAGATCCAACAGCACAGGCTCTAAAGGCAGCAGTCTGGAGAAGGGGATGACAAGTTTAGATCTGGCACCTCTGTCGAGGAGGGAGGACTCCTTCCAGAGGCTGCTGACATCCAGCTCCACCAGACTGTCACTACCTCACAGCACCTTCTCCAGCATCAGTTCTCCTTCCATCTCCAGGACTGAAGACGCTCCTAAACTGAACGTTGCCAGAGAGTCAAACAGAACCCCTGTGTCAGACATCGTGGATGAAGGACGAGCAGTGAAGACTCCAGATGCATCTGTTATTGAGAAGACGGACAGTCATATAGGTGCAGTTGTCAGCAGCGCTGGTAGTCGGCGCACGTCAGACTCTCTGTTCACAAGTCCCGAAATCCGAGAAGATCCTGCCGAAGCAGGCCATCATGGAGCACTAAGGACTGAGGTCAGTAGCCACCCAAGTCCACCACTGAAGAAACGACCTGCTGATTCCAGCCAAGATTCATCAACAGAAATCACATCAGCTCAGCGACCCCGGACACAGGAGAGTGGTGGGTTTTCTATACATGGGTCTGTTGGGCAGCGGAAGCAGGCAGAGTCACCACTACATTTGCTACAGACGACAGACTCTGATATTCCACCATCACAGAACCAGAGAATTACAAGATCTGCTAGGGGTATGTAGTGATTCACAATTGGGTTGTAACGACACACTTAATAGCTATACGATACATATCTTGATAGATCACAATACGATACACTTAGCTGCAATGCGATACATATCTCGATAGATCACAATACGATACACTTTATCGCGCCATGATACATGTCTTGATAGATCACAGTATGAAAGACTTAGCTGTGATACGATACATAGCTTGATAGATCACAATGTGGTATGACACATTTCTTGATATATTGGGGTGGTGGAATAGTCTAGTGGTTAAAGCAGTCGCTCATCACGCCGATGATCCAGTTTCAGTTCCCCCCATGGTTACATTGTGTGAAGCCCATTTCTGGTGTTCCCCATAATCAATGTGAATCGACAGCATGGGGCATGTATGGTGGTGCCATGAGACGGACATGGCGGAGGAGTGGCTGTTTTGTTTGACTGCAGTATATTGTTAAATGCTATACTCTGAGCAACAGGTGAACATGTGGTTATGAAACAGTTCAAGGATTGCTCATTCCTATGTCCAGAGACAGACATAATTCCTAGGGCAACAACGCTGCCTCGGACAATGTTGTGACTGCTGTGGCACGGACACACCGGTTTGAATATGTTTGGGATAGGTCTGCGGCATGAGAGATGGTTCACATCATCTTGCCATATTTGCTCCCAGGTAATGATATTCTAAAAATATTCAAGTATAGGGTAAAAAAAATAAAAGTTCTTGGTTCTCAGGCAGTGCTGCATCATCACAAGGTCCGCCGCACGTTTCGTTTCTATTTCCATTTAAAAAAAATTAAAAACCATAAATATTCCGCGTCTTGAACACACATGACCCTGGCAGTGAAATGGTACAATACTTAAAAACAACTCGATCCTTTATAGCGTGCAGTTACTTCCCTTCACGCGCGCACTGATGTACTGCCCCTCTTGTGTTATATGTTATGGTCATGATGGCAATAGTTATGTGCTTGTTTTGCCATTTGCAATTTTGATCAATGAAAACATGATATTTTTTTTATAAGACATCACTGGATATGATGATTTGCAAATTCAATGGTATTTGAGTACTGTATGGCGGACAATGTTTTATAATCAGAGAATAAGGTGAGTTCACTGTAAGTTAAGGTGAATTTCCATCAGATCATACACGATTTAGCCGAAATTAATAGAAACAAAATTTTATGAAATCTTGGTGAAAAGTAATATAATGGATTACAACATAAGTCCAGATACACAATGAACACTTTTATAGCCAGATAGTGTGATACTAGGAGTAACTTGTGTACTTTAGTACGGATTTGTTGACATACGTCTTTTGATGTTGTGTGCTCACGATAACATTTTCGCTTTGTAGAATAGAATCAAAGCTCATTGTATGCGTGTAATATGCACTTACTGGTAGCCCAACGGTATTCAAATATTGTATTCCAGTATTTTACTTTTCAAGCAATACATTATGGAGGGAGGACCCTTCCCAGGTTGATTGTACACAACTGTGTATTTGGTTACATAAAAGTTTAAACAACCAAAGAAACAAAAACAAAATAAATGCTGCCCGCCCGCACTATATTTTCAAAAAATATAGCTAGAGAGCCTTACCGAAAATTGATGTGGATGCACATGGGGATCTTGCTTGACACTGATGAAAGAATGATGTTACCTTGGAAATAATCAATCAGGGATGTAGGATAAAGTGCAGTCACTGGTCTTTAAACTTTTACCCAAACATCTTAGAATTTGATTTGAATATTTTCTCTATCTTCTCCCCCGTCATACAGCTGGAATATTTCTGACTGTGATGTAAAACAACATTCTCTCACTCACTGCTTTGTTTTTCAGGAGAGAAGAGTAAAAGTTCGGAAAACAGCAGTTCTGGAGAAGGTCATATAAGGTCAGTGAAGAAACACTGATGGAGTCAAATAAGGGAAAAGCTTTTTGAAGTACAAACAGCTGTGCCCAATGTTGTCTGAGGCGCCAGTGTGCCACAATCCTCTGAAAGGACGTCTTGATTTCAGAACCAGTTTTCAATCTGTTTCGTGTCGTTGACATCAAAAGTCAGATTTCTGAAGCTGCCCTGAAGTTGTATCTCAGTTCTGGGGTAGAAATGAATGTTTTCCCCTAAACGCAATGATGGGTAGATAACAATCCTGGGAGTGGTCTTTCTAGGGATTTCTCTTCCCACCCTCATCTTAACCCCACCTGTTTGCCAATATCGGTCATCAGTCGGGATATCACACTTTTGGATTCACCAAAGTGTCTGACAACTGCATTTTGTGATTCGCCAGCTTCAATCATATTTTTTTTCATGTACCCTTTTGGAGGCATTTTCCTTTGTTGGTTGTGACGTTTATTGGCACATACATGTAACCAGGATGTGTCACCGTGGACGAGATGTTTTATGTGTGCAATGTGTAAAGTTTGAACGGATTTTCTGTCCACATTCAGTAACTGTGTCTCATGCAACAGAACTGGTCATTTCATTCTGATAGCTGAAATGATGGGTTCCTTTAAATATTGTTCCACACATATCTAAATGAGTGAATTGTGCAGTGCTCAGGGATACAAAATATTCATAGCCTTTACATACTATAAGATGAGTATGACCTTTGTTTATCATTGCAGTCTCACTAAAGCACATATTTGTACCAAGTTTTGTGGAGTAGCTCTTGTATTCAATCTCTTCCACAAGCATATGGACAAACAAGCAGATGGATAATTTACAGTGTCACATTTTATTGCACATATTGTCTCTTAGATTGGACAATGGGCAAGGATATGGATGACTTTGTTGTCTTGTTTTTGAATGGGTTTGATATCCATTCTATCATTTAGACTAGCTATTTGATGTGACTTTCTGTTCCAGTCCGCAGATTCCCTTCCAGACAACCACAGATGCTGAGCAGGAACAAGCAGCACCAGTTGAACATGCAAGTAGCGCAGAGATGGGTATGTGTGCACTCTGCAGGGAGTGGTGTATCTGTAGACTCAATCTGTATGGTATTGGTGTGTGTACACTCTGCAGGGAGTGGTGTATCTGTAGACTCACGTGTGTGTGGTATTGGTGTGTGTGCACTCTGCAGGGAGTGGTGTATCTGTAGACTCAATCTGTGTGGTATTGGTGTGTGTACACTCTGTAGGGAGTGGTGTATCTGTAGACTCAATCTGTGTGGTATTGGTGTGTGTACACTCTGCAGGGAGTGGTGTATCTGTAGACTTACGTGTGTGTGGTATTGGTGTGTGTACACTCTGCAGGGAGTGGTGTATCTGTAGACTTACGTGTGTGTGGTATTGGTGTGTGTACACTCTGCAGGGAGTGGTGTATCTTTAGACTTACGTGTGTGTGGTATTGGTGTGTGTACACTCTGCAGGGAGTGGTGTATCTGTAGACTTACGTGTGTGGTATTGGTGTGTGTACACTCTGCAGGGAGTGGTGTATCTTTAGACTTACGTGTGTGTGGTATTGGTGTGTGTACACTCTGCAGGGAGTGGTGTATCTGTAGACTTACGTGTGTGGTATTGGTGTGTGTACACTTTGCAGGGAGTGGTGTATCTGTAGACTTACGTGTGTGTGGTATTGGTGTGTGTACACTCTGCAGGGAGTGGTGTATCTGTAGACTCAATCTGTGTGGTATTGGTGTGTGTACACTCTGCAGGGAGTGGTGTATCTGTAGACTTATGTGTGTGGTATTGGTGTGTGTACACTCTGCAGGGAGTGGTGTATCTGTAGACTTACGTGTGTGTGGTATTTGTGTGTGTACACTCTGCAGGGAGTGGTGTATCTGTAGACTTACGTGTGTGGTATTGGTGTGTGTACACTCTGCAGGGAGTGGTGTATCTGTAGACTTACGTGTGTGGTATTGGTGTGTGTACACTCTGCAGGGAGTGGTGTATCTGTAGACTTACGTGTGTGTGGTATTGGTGTGTGTACACTCTGCAGGGAGTGGTGTATCTGTAGACTCAATCTGTGTGGTATTGGTGTGTGTACACTCTGCAGGGAGTGGTGTATCTGTAGACTTACGTGTGTGGTATTGGTGTGTGTACACTCTGCAGGGAGTGGTGTATCTGTAGACTTACGTGTGTGTGGTATTGGTGTGTGTACACTCTGCAGGGAGTGGTGTATCTGTAGACTCACGTGTGTGTGGTATTGGTGTGTGTGCACTCTGCAGGGAGTGGTGTATCTGTAGACTCATGTGTGTGTGCTATTGGTGTGTGTGCACTCTGCAGGGAGTGGTGTATCTGTAGACTCACGTGTGTGTGGTATTGGTGTGTGTACACTCTGTAGGGAGTGGTGTATCTGTAGACTCACGTGTGTGTGCTATTGCACAGATTGGTACATGTACGCTCTGCAGGGAGTGGTGTATTACACAGATTGGTATAGGTACACACTGCAGGGAGTGGTGTATCTGTAGACTCAAGAATGTGTAGTATTGCACAGACGTGGAGACAGTGTCATATCTTTTACACATATTTAACACATGAATTACAAGGAGAGAGATGTAGGTTTTGCCAAGTGTGCCACAGGTCATGTATAAAGATGTTTCATGTGCCCTTTGGGATTTAAGTGTGCCAACATGTAGAATATATTAAAATTGCAAAAAAGAAATACATTTTTTTAATTTCTTTGCCTTATCTTTTCATATGTTCATCAATTGTCATGTGTAAATTGTGCCTACTTGCGTAAGTACATTTACAAATACCTTCATATAATCAACATCATAAATGTCATTTCTAAGTGTGGCACCGAGATCTTATTTTCAAAGTGATTTATGTCATTGGTCTTCTGATGCAAGGAACTTTGAACCCTGAAAGAAATATTTGCTGGATGTAAAGAAAGACCTTGACAATCTGGTGTTGTACTCCAGGCTCCACTGTGATGGCAAAGTGGAAGGATGACTACTTCTACCCAGGGAAGATTTTGAAAATTGACCCAAACGGAAGGTTAGTTACATATTATCATTCTCCATTATCTGGCGCATTATGTCTTGTTTCTATTATGATATTTATATCCTGGACCCATTGCCACCATTCCTTCATTTCTGAAGTGTTGTCACCAGCTCCATCACTCTTGACACTAACAGACTTCCTCTCTCCAACAGTACAGCCACACAGGTTGACAGAAAATAGAAACAACAAATGATCTGTCTGATGAATACTTCTCCCTGTGTTGAGCAGGAACAGTTCCCACTACTGTTTGGAAGGATTTATCTTCCTAGTTTGTTAATGGAGACCCTGATAAGCATATTGATATGTACACCTGACTGCCAACTATAATATGCTAGCTGTTGTGTAGGTATAACATACACCTATAAGTATGAGATTACATGTCATTACGGTATGTGAAAATATGTAACATCTACTGAACTGAAGAAAAAAAAGAATTCCTCTTGCTAAGCAGTATGGAATCAACCAATCATGATGCCTCTTTTGATCACAAGTTCGTCATAGATCTACTTTCTGAAATTACAGCTTGCTCTGAGGGAGTCCTTTGTATATATCATCCAATCAGAAGACTGTTATGATTGAACTTTTAGCTGTCTTCAGACAGGGAGGGCAGTCTTAATGGTACAGGACATCCGCTTATATTGGAGAAGGGATGCAGAGCTTGAGTTTCCTGGTGATAATGCCACTTGTTCCATTTAGGACAGAAGTGTGTAATTTTATTAGATGTCTACTTTTAGATCTATAAAAAGTCTGGTGGCTAATGGGACAATGGTATTTATGATAATACACTGGCATGCTATATATTGGTTGTACCGGAGATCCTGTGGTTCTTTCACTTAGGAGTTATTTTTCATCTGTCCATCCGTCTGCCCATTCGCTAATCAGAGGGGACAAATTTTCTCAAAACTATTAAAGTTAGAGAAGTGAAATTTTACACACTGATTACTGGTCATGATATCAAATAAGGTTGAAAATTGGAGTCTTAAATTACTTCAGTTATTGCCCTTGCTCAGTGCTTTTCAACTGCTTACTGCTTGAAATGGGGACAAGTTTTCTCAGAAACTGCTGAAATTTCATGAATGAAAGCATGCTTATATAAAAGATACTTGTCAAGACTGAGTTAAAAAATTGGTGCCATAAATCTTTTTATACAGAATTATGGCCCTTGCTCCATGCTTGTAACTTAGTGCATGGTGTCTGCAATGGGGACAATGTTTCTCAAAAACTACTGACGTTACATGAATGAACTTTGCATGCTTATCTATGAAATACTTGTCAAGATTGTTTGAAGATTGGTCCTGTAAACTATTTTTTTCCCTTGCTACATGTTTTTAGATTTTTAACATATCCAGTTACAGGCGTTCATCCATGTTATTTTACAAAGTGAATAGTGTCTGCAATGGAGACAAATTGTCTCAGAAACTACTGAAGTTAGCTTATCTAAGAGACATTTATCAAGACTAAGTTCGAGAACTAGTGCCATAAATTATATTTTCCAGAGAAGGGGCCTTTTGTGTGTATTAATTTCACATTTAATCATTTTTCTGACATAAAGCAACCCTAGTGTGTATCTCTTCTTAAGGCTTTATAGAACTCTTTTTTTTGTAGTTTATGTTCACTACTATATGAACAAACAAAATTCTAATGTGCCCCATGGCGGGGAATAATGATAACTTTGTTTTCTTGTTTCTCTTATAACACATACATTGCTTGAATGTAGAGATATTGACAGTTCACACAAAGAAAACACCACAGATGTTTATAATGCAAGTGTGATTTTATGGTATGTGTGTCCAGGGATGAGAATCTTCCACAGATCCACACATTTTAGTGACCACAATTTGTTAAAATCTGATGGCTTCCCCTATAAACACACCCAAATTATGGACCACGCTCCATTGCAAAGAAGTTGCAGCTGAAAAGGAAAATATCCGTTCTCATCCCTGTGTGTCCAAATTGAGAGCGACCACCGGCACATGTAACATATGTTACATTTAGTGGGCTTGATATAACCACATGCACAGTGCATCATATTATTGAAAAGTGCAACCTAATATCAATGGGGAAAAGTGCATGTGCATGTGAAAAAATTCAAATTGTGATTGACTTTCCCTAAAATTTTCAAACAACAATCTTTGAACACACTCAATACCGAGTAGCTTTCTTTACCATACATCACCAATCCCTGTGACATCATCAGAGTGATGGTACTTCAAGATTATGTGCACATGTTACTGTTTGTGTGTTACAGCAAAACACCATTACGTTATGGAAGATCATGACACAGTCAATAGAGATCTGAGATTTTATTTATTTAGACTAGTTTATGCATCAATGTTTCAACTTTGATAAATTTATGGGACCCGGTGCAACCTGGTTTTGTCTGGTGCAGGTAGGTTTTCATGTCAACATGCACCTGGTGCAAGTTTAATTGAGTTCCTTAAATCGAGCCCTAATTTAGCATGTCTTAAGTGAAGTGCGTACCTTTAGATTTTACATCCGCTTTGACGACGGGGACCAGATGTATGTGAAGGCCAAGGATATTCTGCTGGTGAAGGTGATCCCGATTGGCCAGAGTGTGATGGTCCTGTCCTCGGACGGCTACTTCGAGTACGGCATGGTGGTCGAGTACGTGCAGCAGGGCGACAGAGTCAAGTACAAGGTGTCAAGGGATGAAGGCGACACTCAGCAGTAAGGCCACTCAACTTTTCCTCACATACTAGTTGTTGCTGACAAGGATCACTGTCATTAGAAGCTTTATGTTTGTTCCACATAAGACATAAACACATGTAAGCCATAATTACGTTTTGTCCATGGTATGATTTGCCATGAACATTTATATCCATCACTTCATGGACTAGTAGTACCGTATTTTGGGTATCATGATCACAACTGAATATTGACATTTCCTGGGTATTTTCCTTTGTACCTTGTGATTAGACTTTGGCAATCTATTTTGTCGTCAATTTGAGAGACTTATTTTATTAGAATTTATCAGTTACAAACTTAACGTGTATGTTTTAGTGGTCCAATGTTATTGTAAATCAATGTATCAGTTCATATAGGCTTGTATTGCAATATGATCAGTCCACTGCTGTGTCCACTCCCATGACTGCTGGTCACGGTGTGGTGGTTGTGTTGTTCAGCTGGTCACGATGTGGTGGTTGTGTTGTTCAGCTGGTCACGATGTGGTGGTTGTGTCGTTCAGCTGGCCACAATGTGGTGGTCGTGTTGTTCAGCTGGCCACGGTGTGGTGGTTGTGTTGTTCAGCTGGTCACGATGTGGTGGTTGTGTTGTTCAGCTGGTCACGATGTGGTGGTTGTGTTGTTCAGCTGGCCACGATGTGGTGGTTGTGTTGTTCAGCTGGCCACGATGTGGTGGTTGTGTTGTTCAACTGGCCATGATGTGGTGGTTGTGTTGTTCAGCTAGCTATGATGTGGTGGTTGTGTTGTTCAACTGGCCATGATGTGGTGGTTGTGTTGTTCAGCTAGCTATGATGTGGTGGTTGTGTTGTTCAACTGGCCATGATGTGGTGGTTGTGTTGTTAAACTGGCCATGATGTGGTGGTTGTGTTGTTCAGCTAGCTATGATGTGGTGGTTGTGTTGTTCAACTGGCCATGATGTGGTGGTTGTGTTGTTCAGCTAGCTATGATGTGGTGGTTGTGTTGTTCAACTGGCCATGATGTGGTGGTTGTGTTGTTCAACTGGCCACGATGTGGTGGTTGTGTTGTTCAACTGGCCATGTGGTGGTTGTGTTGTTCAGCTGGCCACGATGTGGTGGTTGTGTTGTTCAGCTGGCCACGATGTGGTGGTTGTGTTGTTCAACTGGCCATGATGTGGTGGTTGTGTTGTTCAACTGGCCATGATGTGGTGGTTGTGTTGTTCAACTGGCCACGATGTGGTGGTCGTGTTGTTCAACTGGCCACGATGTGGTGGTTGTGTTGTTCAACTGGCCATGTGGTGGTTGTGTTGTTCAGCTGGCCACGATGTGGTGGTTGTGTTGTTCAGCTGGCCACGATGTGGTGGTTGTGTTGTTCAGCTGGCCACGATGTGGTGGTTGTGTTGTTCAACTGGCCATGATGTGGTGGTTGTGTTGTTCAGCTGGCCACGATGTGGTGGTTGTGTTGTTCAGCTGGCCACGATGTGGTGGTTGTGTTGTTCAACTGGCCACGATGTGGTGGTTGTGTTGTTCAGCTGGCCACGATGTGGTGGTTGTGTTGTTCAACTGGCCATGATGTGGTGGTTGTGTTGTTAAACTGGCCATGACTGGCTATGATGTGGTGGTTGTGTTGTTCAACTGGCCATGATGTGGTGGTTGTGTTGTTAAACTGGCCATGATGTGGTGGTTGTGTTGTTCAGCTAGCTATGATGTGGTGGTTGTGTTGTTCAACTGGCCATGATGTGGTGGTTGTGTTGTTCAGCTGGCCATGATGTGGTGGTTGTGTTGTTCAACTGGCCATGATGTGGTGGTTGTGTTGTTCAGCTGGCCACGATGTGGTGGTTGTGTTGTTCAACTGGCCATGATGTGGTGGTTGTGTTGTTCAACTGGCTATGATGTGGTGGTTGTGTTGTTCAACTGGCCATGATGTGGTGGTTGTGTTGTTCAGATGCTCGTGGAGTCAGATGATCCTCAGTGAGGGTCAGGCCAGCTGCCTGATGAGTGATGAGGAGATGAGGGTGCCAGCTGCCCCAGGGACGATGACCTCTGATCCCAGGCTAGGGGACGTGTCACTAGGTGAGTTTCACTGGGCCTTGATGGTCGGAAGAGATCTTACTGCCATACATGTACTGAAATGTTTCAATGGTTATCTTTCCGATTGTGTATGCAGGTTTAGGTCAATTTATTCTTTAGTTTGATGTTGTGTGGGTATTTATTAAACTACCGATACCAGTAAGAGAAATTCCTTTGTGATTTGTGAGTTAACCATATCACTGTCTTGATGATGGTGTTAATCCAAAGGTCTTTCCTGCTGAAAGTAAAACTGCTGGTTTACAATATCTAGCATATATCAATATTGAAAACTGTGTTGAAGTAGCATCTTTTGTGGCACAAGCCCAGGAGATTGTTCCATCATAGGATCTATGCACTATGACTCAATCTATGCAATACTCTACTCAGGGCTGATCTGGCTATATGTTACACCGTTCAGCTTGCTGTACTCGTGGCTGATCTGGCTATATGCTACACCGTTCAGCTTGCTGTACTCGTGGCTGATCTGGCTATATGCTACACCGTTCAGCTTGTTGTACTCGTGGCTGATCTGGCTATATGCTACACCGTTCAGCTTGCTGTACTCATGGCTGACCTGGCTATATGCTACACCGTTCAGCTTGCTGTACTCGTGGCTGATCTGGCTATATGCTACACCGTTCAGCTTGCTGTACTCGTGGCTGATCTGGCTATATGCTACACCGTTCAGCTTGTTGTACTCGTGGCTGATCTGGCTATATGCTACACCGTTCAGCTTGCTGTACTCATGGCTGACCTGGCTATATGCTACACCGTTCAGCTTGCTGTACTCGTGGCTGATCTGGCTATATGCTACACCGTTCAGCTTGCTGTACTCGTGGCTGATCTGGCTATATGCTACACCGTTCAGCTTGCTGTACTCATGACTGACCTGGCTATATGCTACACCGTTCAGCTTGCTGTACTCGTGGCTGATCTGGCTATATGCTACACTGTTCAGCTTGCTGTACTCGTGGCTGATCTGGCTATATGCTACACCGTTCAGCTTGCTGTACTTGTGATCCATATGGCTATATGTTACACCATTTTACTTGCTGTACTCAGGGCTGATCTTGTATACGTCTCAGATAACCTCATTGTGGGGGAGCGACGGAGACGGAAGAGAGGAGCACAAGAGGCGACACCGAGGGAAAAAGAAGCTCGGATGACAGAAAGTAAAGGCAGTCCAGCAAAGGCCCCCGGTGTTGTCAGAAGCTCACTGAGGGGTAGATCTGCCAGCAGAAGCACCCAGAAGGAGCAGAAGGACCTACCACCAGATCCCCCAGACCCTCCAAGTCACGGCAAGGACAAAGACCCTCCCAGTCGGGGAAAGAAGCGGAAACTGCAGGAGGGGCCAATGGCCACCAGCACACCAACACCCAAAGCCAAGAAACCTGCTGACAGTACAGGGTCAGGTAACTATGTGCTAGCGATCAGTCAATCAAGGAATCTACCCTGAAACAGTCAGTGATTATAAAACTGCCCAAAACCAATTTATGTTCAGACATCTGTAAGATGGTGCAATGATTTATTGCAAGATATTCACAGAAGTTGTGTTTTTGTATGTTTCTGGGACTATGATTGAAATGTACAGATTATGACAAATGCTGGATGATGTAACTGGTTTCACACACAAGGAGATGTCAGAAACAAATCTGGTGTGAATGTTTGGAAATGTATCTTCCAGTAATACTTTTAATCACAAAACGTTTGGACCTATAGCTGGGTAGAATATATCCTGAGCACCCTATTATCAGCAAATCAGGAAACAGTAGTTACGAAGTGAAGTGGCCTTATTTTGTCAGTTTATGGAAACATAAATGCAAACAATATTGCTTGGTTAGCCGAACAAATGCCTCAGAAACGCTTGCACTTTATTTATAGTACTGTAATATGTCTGAATATGGATGGTATATGCTATTCTGTTGTGAGTGCCAAGCTTTGAACACATACATAAAGTGCTATGTAACCCCTTGGGGTTTAAAGGTTAGAATAGGTCCCCAGCGACGTATGCTACATTGATCTCTGGATTTGTTTTGTCACCGTACAGCTTGAATAATATAATGCCCTGAGTGGTGTAAAACAACAATCATATGTGCATATTGAACACATCAATAGTTATGCAGAATTGTATAATAATAATTATGACCCAAATGCAAGCATCACCTGCAGACACAGGCTTTGGACCTATGAAGATCAGGTTTAGAATTGATCTTCAGCTATCTATGCTTGTCAAAAGAGATGACTAACAGGAATCAGATGGTCAGGCTCGCTGACTTTGTTGATGCATGTTGTATCCCAATGCTCTGGATTGTCTGATCCAGACTCAATAATTTACAGACTGCCATCTGATGATCATATAACTGGAATATTGCTGTGTGCGTTGTTAAACAACAAACAAAAAAACTGAGGCTTTGCCGACTGCAGCATAACGAAGCATGCATGCCATCCTGAGCAGGAATTACCATATTTTCTTGAGTATAATGCGCACCCCTTGCGGATTTAGTATTTGGAAAAAATGTTTTTTCGAATATTATGCGCAGAAAAAATTTACACTGTACCCCTTCAGCGAATTCCGGTAAACGAACGGGTGATAAGAAACTTCGTCAGTACCAATTTTAAATTTGAGAAAAAAATCACCAGACATGTTGATTTACCGTTTAAATTGTATTTTTGGTTCTGCTAAGCATTGTTTTACATCCAGGGATTAAGATTACCTTTTTACCAAGTAGCTATATGGCTACAAGTATTTTTTTCCAGGTAGCCAGTGGTAAAATCAAGAAGTCAAGCTAATATTGTAGGAAGCCAAAAGCATTTAAAATTATCTTTTATCAAATAACTATTTTATGTACAAGTCATAGCACTAGTCTTGGAATTGTATTTTAGTGGAACTGTACATGCTGTACTTGAGTTTTGTTGTTTGTGACTCGAATAACATTGCAATTTATGTTACTAGATTATATAGGTATATCCTTGCTTATCCAATAAACTATGAACTAAAATAAAATACTAATTACATTAATATTGATGCATTTCGGTTCATTGTTGACTTTAGGAGGAATTATTTGCAAGTTCAATCAGTAGCAGACATGTTTATCATGTCTACATATGTGTAGCAATAGAATTTAGTCGCCACAAGATATTTTTGAAGGTAGTCATTTGGCTACCTCTGAATTTTAGAGAGTAGACAAATTGAAATTTAGGTCGCATGGGCCATCGTTTTAGTCGCAACTTTGAGGTCTGAGCTGTATACACTACCGGTAATTCGGTTAAAACTTACCCAACGATATAACTTTACAAGATTTTAATGCATGGATCGGGAAAAATTGTTTCTGAAACTATTTTATTATCAGGAATAATATATTCCAATATCTCGTTATTTTAGTTGCAGCTTTTACTAAATATATTTAAAGTAATAATAACACTAAGCGTAGCACTTCAGTGCAGCTGATCGCTATTGCTGGTTATATTTTTTCACATGGAACAATTTGACCAGTCAACGTCGAGACTCCCGTGCACTTTAATGCGAGATCTATGTGTTGACATAGAATCGTCAAACCACAACAAATATGACTTTTAACGAGTCAAAGTATATGGCATTTATGATATATGTATCCATTCTCTGTCAACTAAAGTTTGTTTCAAGACGTCAATAGCAGTAATCTGACTGTGGTTGCTGTTAATAATGGTGAGTTGTGTGATCTTCCGATTGCTTCACACACAATTTCGCCGAAATTAATTATAACAATATTAAAAGGAATTTTGAATAAAATTAATGAAGTTATTTACAAACATAAGTCTAGATATACAATAAAGATATACAAAGATTAATTTGGGACTTTAGTATGGATTTGTTGACATGGTATTTCCGGTGTTACGTGCTCACAGTTATGTCTTTGCGTTGGGGGGAAGAAACATCAAACTCATTATGGCGTGTAAAATGCTCACCCCCTTCTACACAGCTGTGGTTGTTTTTTTTTAAATTGCGCACTATACTCAAGAAAATAATGTAGACAAGAATGGGGGTATTTTATGATGTGGATGTTTTCAGTTTATGTGTGATATTGTATGGGTGTATGTTGTAGTGACGCCGACCACGTCCGGTATGGGAGGAGCAGTAGACTCGCCGTCAGAGAGCAGGGGGCGGGCCCGTAGAGTCAGAGTTGGTGAGATATGTGTTATTATTATGCCTCAAAGTGAGATTGACCAATCAGAGAGCAGAACTACTGACCCCACATGAGCCTGTAAACTGTCAGTATAAAATCCAAGATGGTTGTTACTGACCTAATATGTGACCGTACACCATCAGTAACAGCCATTTTGAATTTTCCAACACCCACCTCACATATTTCACAAGGAAATTCTTGTACAGAAATTCATTATTCAACACTGTTTTGTGTTTTAATATCATTAATTGTGATGAGCATGACATTATTTATTAAAGAAACCACGTTCGTGACTTTATTTATAAAAATTATACAGAAAAAAAGCTTACAATGGAGATCACTGAGTTACATTAGCATCGTCATAGAACATACTATGGGATGACGTCACAAACAAGACACGTGACACCAATGACGTCACATAGCAATAGAATAGATAGCAGCCCGCCGTTAGGGGAAAGCGGACTGCTATCAAGTTACAGTGGCCCGCAGATTTCTGTTAACATGCCAGCATTTTTATGATAATTCTATACATTTTAGCTATAGTAGTTTAAACGTTCACATTTAGTGCATGATATATTCCTTTGTTAACATTTATGTTTACATTAATGCATTGTATCAGAAACATATATACTGGTTCTGTCGTTCATACCAGTTGTAAGTGTCAAGTTTTCATTTTGACATGTGCGACAAAGATACCAAATAGTGAAAACTTTTCAACATAATAAATTAGTTATGGTTTCTATAGTTGCCGTATACGGTGTCATATGAGGTAAGCGGGAAAATATTGGGCGAGGCGTGAGCATGGCAGCTAAAGACATCATAACTTATGATATGCATCTTCTTTGTGATATATGACCACATGCAGTCATGTAATGCACCAGAAGTAGAAGTAGAATGGCAGTAATAGCATAGCATCCCAAAGGCAGGACCTGTTTGAACAAAATAGTTCACTTATCAACTGATCCTTTAAAACAGCACACATGACACATGGTATTCTGATACCATCTTGAATAAATTTAAACATAAATTCCTCACTTACCAACCAGGCTTTTTCGGAATCCACAAGACAAACAAATACAAAACTTTTGGCCCAACATTCATCTTTCATGAATAAGTCAAGGCTTTTCTGTTTTGAGGAGAATATGTTTTAGTTTTAATAACTAGCAATACCAAAAAGGCTTGACAAGACTAGAGAACTATGGAATGTACCTCTTCTCTCTGTATGTATACACCTTAGTGTTTCAAAGTGTGCTACATGTCTGCCAGGTCTCTTCGACAAAAGCAAGATGGGCAGTCGGCCGCGTTCTCCCTACCTGTTCCAGGGCATAGTGTTCCTTCTGACTCATGTGGACAAGAGTCCAGAACAGAAACTGCAAGAGAAGAAACTTCTCCAAGATTCCAGCCTGGAAACCTCAACTGAAGAGAGTGGCACTGAAGGTAGGTGCTTGACTGGGTGTAGGAGGGTGGCACTGAAGGTAGGTGCTTGACTGGGTGTAGGAGGGTGGCACTGAAGGTAGGTCCTGGACTGTGTGTAGGAGAGTGGCACTGAAGGTAGGTGCTTGACTGGGTGTAGGAGGGTGGCACTGAAGGTAGGTGCTGGACTGGGTGTAGGAGGGTGGCACTGAAGGTAGGTCCTGGACTGGGTGTAGGAGAGTGGCACTGAAGGTAGGTGCTTGACTGGGTGTAGGAGGGTGGCACTGAAGGTAGGTCCTGGACTGTGGGTAGGAGGGTGGCACTGAAGGTAGGTGCTGGACTGGGTGTAGGAGGGTGGCACTGAAGGTAGGTCCTGGACTGGGTGTAGGAGGGTGGCACTGAAGGTAGGTGCTTGACTGGGTGTAGGAGGGTGGCACTGAAGGTAGGTCCTGGACTGGGTGTAGGAGGGTGGCACTGAAGGTAGGTGCTAGACTGGGTGTAGGAGGGTGGCACTGAAGGTAGGTGCTGGACTGGATGTAGGAGGGTGGCACTGCAGGTAGGTGCTGGACTGGGTGTAGGAGGGTGGCACTGAAGGTAGGTGGTGAACTAGGTGTAGGAGGGTGGCACTGAAGGTAAGTGTTGGACTAGGTGTAGGAGGGTGGCACTGAAGGTAGGTGCTGGACTGGGTGTAGGAGGGTGGCACAGAAGGTAGGTGCTGGACTAGTTGTAGGAGGGTGGCACTGCAGGTAGGTGCTGGACTGGGTGTAGGAGGGTGGCACTGAAGGTAGGTGCTGCACTGGGTGTAGGAGGGTGGCACTGAAGGTAGGTGCTCGACTAGGTGTTTCACAGGACATGGTAGTTTCTTTGACACTTTTGTTATGTGTTTGAAGGCTTTAGAAGTGTCTTTATTTAAAGACTAATCTGTCAAAGATTTTTTTTCAATAAGATTTGAAACTGAATGAAATATATCTTGTTAAAATTTGAAAGGAATGTATTTTTCAGAAGAACCTAGCATTGCGTTTGACAAGGAGAATCTGCGAACCAACATCGAGGCGGCGGGTGGTGTGGTGCTGGAGAAATACAACCAGGCACAGGTAACAGCAAGCTGCCCTTCTTGGAGGGGAACATAGACTACAGTACAGTTGCTTGGGATCTTAAATGACAGTGTGGGGGACACAGGTCACAAATCATGATGACTGCATGCTTGCTACAATAACTGAATTAGATGTGAGAGATGCAAACAATATGTTTTGTATGTTTGCAGATTGAAGCAGCAACTCAGGCCTACCTGGTGGCAAACACGTTCCAGCGGACTGTCAAGTACTTCCAGTGTCTGGCAGCAGGCATCCCCTGTGTGTCCCATCAGTGGATCATACACTCCTGTACAGAGGTAGGCATCCCCTGTGTGTCCCATCAGTGGATCATAAACTCCTGTACAGAGGTAGGCATCCCCCGTGTGTCCCATCAGTGGATCATACACTCCTGTACAGAGGTAGGCATCCCCTGTGTGTCCCATCAGTGGTTCGTACACTCCTGTACAGAGGTAGGCATCCCCTGTGTGTCCCATCAGTGGATCGTACACTCCTGTACAGAGGTAGGCATCCCCTGCGTGTCCCATCAGTGGATCGTACACTCCTGTACACAGGTAGGCATCCCCTGTGTGTCCCATCAGTGGATCATACACTCCTGTACAGAGGTAGGCATCCCGTGTGTCCCATCAGTGGATCATACACTCCTGTACAGAGGTAGGCATCCCGTGTGTCCCATCAGTGGATCGTACACTCCTGTACAGAGGTAGGCATCCCCTGCGTGTCCCATCAGTGGATCATACACTCCTGTACAGAGGTAGGCATCCCCTGTGTGTCCCATCAGTGGATCGTACACTCCTGTACAGAGGTAGGCATCCCGAGTGTCCCATCAGTGGATCGTACACTCCTGTACAGAGGTAGGCATCCCCTGTGTGTCCCATCAGTGGATCGTACACTCCTGTACAGAGGTAGGCATCCCCTGTGTGTCCCATCAGTGGATTGACACTCCTGTACAGAGGTAGGCATCCCCTGCGTGTCCCATCAGTGGATCGTACACTCCTGTACAGAGGTAGGCATCCCCTGTGTGTCCCATCAGTGGATTGTACACTCCTGTACAGAGGTAAACATCCCCCGCGTGTCCCATCAGTGGATCATACACTCCTGTACAGAGGTAGGCATCCCGTGTGTCCCATCAGTGGATCATACACTCCTGTACAGAGGTAGGCATCCCCTGCGTGTCCCATCAGTGGATCATACGCTCCTGTACAGAGGTAGGCATCCCCTGTGTGTCCCATCAGTGGATCGTACACTCCTGTACAGAGGTAGGCATCCCCTGCGTGTCCCATCAGTGGATCATACACTCCTGTACAGAGGTAGGCATCCCGTGTGTCCCATCAGTGGATCGTACACTCCTGTACAGAGGTAGGCATCCCCTGCGTGTCCCATCAGTGGATCGTTCACTCCTGTACAGAGGTAGGCATCCCCTGCGTGTCCCATCAGTGGATCGTACACTCCTGTACAGAGGTAGGCATCCCCTGTGTGTCCCATCAGTGGATTGTACACTCCTGTACAGAGGTAGGCATCCCCCGTGTGTCCCATCAGTGGATCGTACACTCCTGTACAGAGGTAGGCATCCCCTGCGTGTCCCATCAGTGGATCATACACTCCTGTACAGAGGTAGGCATCCCGTGTGTCCCATCAGTGGATCGTACACTCCTGTACAGAGGTAGGCATCCCCTGTGTGTCCCATCAGTGGATCGTACACTCCTGTACAGAGGTAGGCATCCCGTGTGTCCCATCAGTGGATCGAACACTCCTGTACAGAGGTAGGCATCCCCCGTGTGTCCCATCAGTGGATCGAACACTCCTGTACAGAGGTAGGCATCCCGTGTGTCCCATCAGTGGATTGAACACTCCTGTACAGAGGTAGGCATCCCCTGTGTGTCCCATTAGTGGATTGTACACTCCTGTACAGAGGTAGGCATCCCGTGTGTCCCATCAGTGGATCGTACACTCCTGTACAGAGGTAGGCATCCCCTGTGTGTCCCATCAGTTGATCGTACACTTCTGTACAGAGGTAGGCATCCCCTGCGTGTCCAATCAGTGGATCATACACTCCTGTACAGAGGTAGGCATCCCCTGTGTGTCCCATCAGTGGATTGTACACACCTGTACAGAGGTAGGCATCCTGTGTGTCCGATCAGTGGATTGTACACTCCTGTACAGAGGTAGGCATCCCCTGCGTGTCCCATCAGTGGATTGAACACTCCTGTACAGAGGTAGGCATCCCCTGTGTGTCCCATTAGTGGATTGTACACTCCTGTACAGAGGTAGGCATCCCGTGTGTCCCATCAGTGGATCGTACACTCCTGTACAGAGGTAGGCATCCCCTGTGTGTCCCATCAGTTGATCGTACACTTCTGTACAGAGGTAGGCATCCCCTGCGTGTCCAATCAGTGGATCATACACTCCTGTACAGAGGTAGGCATCCCCTGTGTGTCCCATCAGTGGATTGTACACACCTGTACAGAGGTAGGCATCCTGTGTGTCCGATCAGTGGATTGTACACTCCTGTACAGAGGTAGGCATCCCCTGCGTGTCCCATCAGTGGATCAAACCCTCCTGTACAGAGGTAGGCATCCCCTGTGTGTCCCATCAGTGGATTGTACACTCCTGTACAGAGGTAGGCATCCCGTGTGTCCCATCAGTGGATCGTACACTCCTGTACAGAGGTAGGCATCCCCTGTGTGTCCCATCAGTGGATTGTACACTCCTGTACAGAGGTAGGCATCCCGAGTGTCCCATCAGTGGATCGTACACTCCTGTACAGAGGTAGGCATCCCCTGTGTGTCCCATCAGTGGATCGTACACTCCTGTACAGAGGTAGGTATCCCCTGCGTGTCCCATCAGTGGATCGTACACTCCTGTACAGAGGTAGGCATCCCCTGTGTGTCCCATCAGTGGATTGTACACTCCTGTACAGAGGTAGGCATCCCCCGTGTGTCCCATCAGTGGATCGTACACTCCTGTACAGAGGTAGGCATCCCCTGCGTGTCCCATCAGTGGATCATACACTCCTGTACAGAGGTAGGCATCCCGTGTGTCCCATCAGTGGATCGTACACTCCTGTACAGAGGTAGGCATCCCGTGTGTCCCATCAGTGGATCGTACACTCCTGTACAGAGGTAGGCATCCCCTGCGTGTCCCATCAGTGGATCATACACTCCTGTACAGAGGTAGGCATCCCCTGTGTGTCCCATCAGTGGATCGTACACTCCTGTACAGAGGTAGGCATCCCGAGTGTCCCATCAGTGGATCGTACACTCCTGTACAGAGGTAGGCATCCCCTGTGTGTCCCATCAGTGGATCGTACACTCCTGTACAGAGGTAGGCATCCCCTGTGTGTCCCATCAGTGGATTGACACTCCTGTACAGAGGTAGGCATCCCCTGCGTGTCCCATCAGTGGATCGTACACTCCTGTACAGAGGTAGGCATCCCCTGTGTGTCCCATCAGTGGATTGTACACTCCTGTACAGAGGTAAACATCCCCCGCGTGTCCCATCAGTGGATCATACACTCCTGTACAGAGGTAGGCATCCCGTGTGTCCCATCAGTGGATCATACACTCCTGTACAGAGGTAGGCATCCCCTGCGTGTCCCATCAGTGGATCATACGCTCCTGTACAGAGGTAGGCATCCCCTGTGTGTCCCATCAGTGGATCGTACACTCCTGTACAGAGGTAGGCATCCCCTGCGTGTCCCATCAGTGGATCATACACTCCTGTACAGAGGTAGGCATCCCGTGTGTCCCATCAGTGGATCGTACACTCCTGTACAGAGGTAGGCATCCCCTGCGTGTCCCATCAGTGGATCGTTCACTCCTGTACAGAGGTAGGCATCCCCTGCGTGTCCCATCAGTGGATCGTACACTCCTGTACAGAGGTAGGCATCCCCTGTGTGTCCCATCAGTGGATTGTACACTCCTGTACAGAGGTAGGCATCCCCCGTGTGTCCCATCAGTGGATCGTACACTCCTGTACAGAGGTAGGCATCCCCTGCGTGTCCCATCAGTGGATCATACGCTCCTGTACAGAGGTAGGCATCCCGTGTGTCCCATCAGTGGATCGTACACTCCTGTACAGAGGTAGGCATCCCCTGTGTGTCCCATCAGTGGATCGTACACTCCTGTACAGAGGTAGGCATCCCGTGTGTCCCATCAGTGGATCGAACACTCCTGTACAGAGGTAGGCATCCCCCGTGTGTCCCATCAGTGGATCGAACACTCCTGTACAGAGGTAGGCATCCCGTGTGTCCCATCAGTGGATTGAACACTCCTGTACAGAGGTAGGCATCCCCTGTGTGTCCCATTAGTGGATTGTACACTCCTGTACAGAGGTAGGCATCCCGTGTGTCCCATCAGTGGATCGTACACTCCTGTACAGAGGTAGGCATCCCCTGTGTGTCCCATCAGTTGATCGTACACTTCTGTACAGAGGTAGGCATCCCCTGCGTGTCCAATCAGTGGATCATACACTCCTGTACAGAGGTAGGCATCCCCTGTGTGTCCCATCAGTGGATTGTACACACCTGTACAGAGGTAGGCATCCTGTGTGTCCGATCAGTGGATTGTACACTCCTGTACAGAGGTAGGCATCCCCTGCGTGTCCCATCAGTGGATCAAACCCTCCTGTACAGAGGTAGGCATCCCCTGTGTGTCCCATCAGTGGATTGTACACTCCTGTACAGAGGTAGGCATCCCGTGTGTCCCATCAGTGGATCGTACACTCCTGTACAGAGGTAGGCATCCCCTGTGTGTCCCATCAGTGGATTGTACACTCCTGTACAGAGGTAGGCATCCCGAGTGTCCCATCAGTGGATCGTACACTCCTGTACAGAGGTAGGCATCCCCTGTGTGTCCCATCAGTGGATCGTACACTCCTGTACAGAGGTAGGTATCCCCTGCGTGTCCCATCAGTGGATCGTACACTCCTGTACAGAGGTAGGCATCCCCTGTGTGTCCCATCAGTGGATTGTACACTCCTGTACAGAGGTAGGCATCCCCCGTGTGTCCCATCAGTGGATCGTACACTCCTGTACAGAGGTAGGCATCCCCTGCGTGTCCCATCAGTGGATCATACACTCCTGTACAGAGGTAGGCATCCCGTGTGTCCCATCAGTGGATCGTACACTCCTGTACAGAGGTAGGCATCCCCTGTGTGTCCCATCAGTGGATCGTACACTCCTGTACAGAGGTAGGCATCCCGTGTGTCCCATCAGTGGATCGAACACTCCTGTACAGAGGTAGGCATCCCCCGTGTGTCCCATCAGTGGATCGAACACTCCTGTACAGAGGTAGGCATC